GGGAGAGGAGGAGGAGAATCTGGGGGGGGAGAAGGGGAGAGGAGGAGGAGAATCTGGGGGAGAGAAGGGGAGAGGAGGAGGAGGAGAATCTGGGGGGGGGAGAAGGGAAGATGCTGGGGGAGAGAAGAGGAGAATTAGCTCGGACAACTGTATGAGTTGTTTTTATTCTAAACTTAAACCTAAGTATTCAGGTTTAATTGCCTTGTTGGCACTTTGAGGGAAAACAGTATTGCAATTTGGGCATTCGGGCTCAAAAAGGTTTGCCATCACTGCTCTAGAAGGAAGACCTTGGTACAAAATACATCTGCCAAAGTCAGCAAATTATTTCAAACATTATTTTAAAGCATATAAAGCAAAAAGAGTTGAACTATTTCATATCCTTACAGTCAGCACTAATGATTATAAACCTTATCTAAGCATAAAATACATATGAACAAGAAAAGTTAACCCCTTAAGGACACAACTTCTGAAATAAAAGGGAATCATGACGGAATATATCCGTCATGTGTCCTTAAGGGGTTAACTAGGCTCATTCAGATGTAGTCTTACTCCAATATGTTGATTTACTTCTCTGTGCTGCTGATCTCCACACTGCTGAACGAGATTCTGAGGATCTCCTCTGCTTCCTCGCTGAAGAAGGTTGCAAAGTCTCCAAATCAAAACTCCAGTGGTGCCGGCCCTCTGTGGTCTTCTTGGGACATTGTCTTTCCCATGGCACCCGTCACCTCACCAAACAAAGGATTTTGGCAGTCTTGAATCTACCATTACCTGCAGCTCATCAGTCTCTCCATGCCTTCTTAGGCCTCATCACGTATTGCAGGTCCTGGATTCCAGAAGCTTCCCAGCTAATGCAACCACTCTACAATGCCCTGAAGAGCGAACCCTTTTCCTTTCACCACAAGCTTTTGCCTGTTTCACTGCCCTGAAGAAATCCATTGCTTCTGCACCAGCCTTGGGCCTACCGAACTATCAGCTACCCTTCAAATTATTTGTGTCTGAAAAATTGGGCCACACTTTCGGTGTCCTAACTCAAAAACATGGCTCCAGACAGAGGCCCATTGGCTACTTCTCCTGCATGCTTGATCCCGTTGCCAGAGGTAGTCCCTCTTGCCTGAGGGCAGTGCTTGCTGCCAGTGCCTTGCTGGATAAAACCAATGACTTTATTCTTGGTCACACTCTGACCGTCTTAGCACCTCATGATATTTCTGCAATCCTTCAAAAGGTTCAGCCTAAGCATCTCTCTTCCCAACGCCATCTACGGTTGCAAACCTCTTTATTGTTACCTGACAACGTTACCCTTCAACGCTGCTGTTCGCTGAACCCGGCCAATATTCTGCCACTTCTCAAGGGGGGAGAAGCACAGTATTGTTACAGCCTGGATGTCAATCCAGATGCCCGGGTGGAATTTCAACTACCTACTCTTACATCTCCACATGATGTGCAACCAGAGAACTTGTTGCACTGTACCCTGTGGTTCAAAGACAGTCCAGGCCCTGATGTGTATTATGAAGAAGAACTATTTCAACTTGTGGAAATTCACATCACATTGACAGACTTGCTATGGGACTCCACAGGCAACATGGTCCGGCTGGTACACCTCCCAGAGGATGCATCTCACTTCTACCGTCATTGGGAGACCGCTGTCCCACACATATCCCTCACCAAGTCTCATGACATCTCATGGAAAGATTTAGGCCCAATGGCCAAGTCCTGGAGCACGATAGCCCAGGAACAACTGAACTCTATGGGAGTAACCAAAAAAGTTATCAACTGCAGTACAGCCGGAAATCCTAGATACCACACAGAAATTTGTGAAGACCTACCTGCCATGGAACATGACTCAGAAACTCCCCATGATTGCTTTGAACAAATGAAGATGGAAACTACCCATTTACCAACTGTGCACGAAGCTGCTCTGCTCAACCCAGACCAGACACTGTTTGTGGATGATTCCAGATTTGCTGATGAACAAGAGCAGTATCACACTGGGTATGCAGTTACTATAGAAAGCCAAATATTACAGGCAGCTGCACTCCAGCCAATTAAGTCAGCTCAAGAAGCCGAGCTAACAACCCTCACAGTGGCCTGCAAGCTATCCGAAGGCCTACGTGTCAATATTTATACAGACTCAAGATATGCCCTGGGAGTGGCACACGATTTTGGCCTAATTTGGAAGAATAGAGTATTTCTCACAGCCACTGGTACTCCGGTGAAACATGGGGCAGCCATTGAAGAACTGATGGATGCTTTAGTGCTTCCTGCAGAAGTGGCGGTGTTAAAAGTAAAAGCCCATGTAAAACTAGATTCAGAGGAAGCACGAGGCAACCATTTGGCTGATCAAGCTGCCAAAGAAGCAGCACGACAAGGGTGGGAAATGGACAGAAGGGTGGCCACTGACACAGTACCTATCTACACTATGCAGACATTACCTACAGATCTCAGACTTCTAAAAGAGCAACAAGCAGCTGCCACCCCTCAGGAGAAACAAAGTTGGAAGAACAAAGTGGCTGTTCTCCGAGATGATGTTTACACCATCAATCTTAAGTTTTGCCTACCCAAGAATATGTATCCAGCTGTTGTCCAATGGGCTCATGGGCCAGCCCATCTGTCAAAACATTTGATGAACTCCCTGATTGATAAATACTTCAAAGCAACAGGCAGTACTACTCTGACACAGAATTATTGTAGATCCTGTACAATATGTGCTAAGTGTAACCCTGGGAAGATTGTTAAAACCACACCCAATCACCTGGCCAAACCCCAGTAAACTTTTCAGAGGATACAGATTGACCACATCCAGATGCCAAAGAGTGGACGTTATGAATACGCACTAGTCATTGTGGATATGTTCTCAGGGTGGCCAGAAGCTTTCCTAGTGGCTAATCTCACTGCAAGGACCACAGCCAAACACCTTCTGACGGAAATTGTCTGCCGGTACGGAGTTCCGGAAGTGATTGAAAGCGACCAAGGAACCGCCTTCACCGCCTCATTGACACGGGAAGTCTGGTCAGCGCTGGGGGTGACCCTTGCATTCCACACACCATATCACCCACAAAGTAGTGGGAAGGTAGAACGCATGAATGGCACATTGAAGGCCAGAATGCTCAAGATGTCACAAGAAACTAACATGCCCTGGCCTGAGAGTCTCCCATTAGCATTATTTAGTGTAAGGTACACCCCTAGGGGAAAATACAACTTATCTCCTTATGAGATCCTGTTTGGCACAGCACCAAGGTTAGGTTGTTACTTCACCCAACAACTCCAGATTCAGTCAGATGCTATGGTAGATTATGTAACTGCTCTTTCTCATGCCTTGACCAAAATCCATGCCCAAGTGTTTTCTTCTATTCCAGATCCTGAGTCGAATACAGGTACACACAAGTTGCTTCCTGGTGATTGGGTTATGGTCAAGAAGTTTCTCAGGAAGCACACCCTTGAGCCAAGATTTGATGGTCCCTACCAAGTGCTCCTAATCACAGCTACCTCAGTTAAATTGGCCGGAAGAGTTCCTGGATACACGTCTTACACTGCAAGAAAGTGCCTGCTCCAGAAGAAGTTGTCCCTGCTGAGCTATGAATTTATTGTATTTCTTGTGTTTTTCTATGCTGCTAGCCTTTGCATGGGCCCAGCAGGTGGCCATAACCAAAGATAACCATGTCTACACTTTTTGGTATAATTCTTCCAACACAGACTTACACCTTTGATTACTGTGATATTGTTACTTGCACCTTCCCATAAACACAATACACCTTTGATTACTGTGATATTGTTACTTGCACCTTCCCACAAACACAATATGCTGCTATATACAAGGACATACCCAGTAAAAAAAGACCCATACATTTGTGTGACTGGAGGGTCCTGGGGACATCATTGTAGTTCATGGAAGGCGGCTGGGTGGAATACAGGTAGACCATGGGGCTATAGGCCCCAGAGCGCCCTGGACAGAATTGACAAAGACAGAAAACCCCTACTCTCCAGAATGACCTTAAGTAAACCTATCGGGTCAACACCCATTAAACTCACACTGAACATAGAGCACCCTAGTCCAAAGGATGCAGGGGAATATGTAATGGGCATGTACTGGAGGGGAGGCGGCTCATACAACAAATCGGGGACATTCTATCTACAAGATATGCTTACCTCACCTGACTGGGTAGGAACTACTCACATGACTGTTAACCCACTGAAACCACAAATCAAGACTTTACATGATATGGTAGCCATAGCCAATCCTACTTTTGAAGACACGATGGCAGTGGAAACTGGGTTCTCAGATACTAATTTATGGCTGGAGTGGATGAGGTATAATGCTAACTCACACAATAAGACTAATTGTTATGTATGTGGAGGGGCCAGGCCCCACCTGGGTACGGTGCCTTTAAACCTACCTTCCGTTGTTGAATTATGTGTCCAGAGTCTTTATGCACAATCTACTACTAACTCCTCAACGTGTGAATCATGGAAAAAGGTTTACCCAATCATCCAGGGACATGTCAGACCACCTGATGGAGTCACGGTATACCCAGGTAACTACACTTGCTATTCAATACCTATGAACACAGGTACATTTATGGGCAAATTCCCATCTGGTTATTGCTCTACCTATCATGATCCACGCATAGCATTATTAATGAATCATGTAAAGACAGTTGGGGACATATATTGGCTATGTGGTGATAAACAACTGAGATCCCAACTGGTGGGGCTATGGTGGGGAGAATGTACATTGACCAAAGCCATAATGCCTATCCACATTATCCCGGATGGCTATCACAATGTGTTAGACCCCGCGCACACACACTCCAGAGTCAAGAGGGAAGCCCCAATCCAAGGGAGCTTTGATCCACATGTTTACATTGATGCCATTGGTGTGCCAATGGGGGTACCCAGCGAATTCAAGGCAAGGGATGAAGTGGCAGCCAGGTTTGAATCTTTGATTCCAATGATTACTGCTAATAAGAATGTCAATTGGATTAACTATATCTATTACAATCAGCAACGTTTTTTTAATTATACCCGAGATGCCCTACAGGGCCTAGCAGAACAGCTGCAAGCCATCACCCAAATGACATTTCAAAATAGAATGGCCCTGGATATGATCTTAGCAGAAAAGGGAGGTGATTTAAAATCCTCCCCGAAACCATGACATGTTGCACATTTATTCCAGATAACACTGGGCCCAATGGTAATGTAACTATATAAGGCTATAGAGAAACTAGATAGTCTCTCTGATGAACTAAAGAAAAACTCAGGAGTCATTGAACCCTATTCCAGGTTGGGACAGCAGTTCTCATAATGATTATCATCTTTCTATTTCTAACCTGTTGTGTACTTCCTTGTATACAGAAATACTTACAGAAGACAGTAGGGAAGACTATAGACAACGTAACTCCTACTTTCCTACACCAGGACGTCACTGACTTAGAATGTGACACACCACATACACCCCTCCAATCCCATCAGTTTAAACAGACAACTGCATTCCTGTAGGGATAGCGTAGGGAAAGCGTCTGTCTCTACGGCAAGTCTCAAGTGTGGAGATGTGGTGGACTAGCCACTGCGGGTTACCCACGGAGTGAAGAGTTCGATGCTTGTTAAGACAGATGAGCTGCAGGCAGCTAGGGACATGCCAGAGACAATGGCAGTTGTTATGGTAAATAGATATTTTAAGGGGGGACTGTTGTGGAAATGAGATATTGATATATTTTCTAGTTAGTAAACTGTCTATTTACTCATTTAGCTGAAATCAGTATATAAGCTATTCACACATATTTAGACAAAATGGCCACTAGAAGCTTCTAACCCCTCCATCCCTATAACACCGACGAACTACCTCGTGCAACAAGATGGCGCTGGAGACCCTCATGATTCCAGTGACATCACCTTTAGTAGGCAGAGCATTAAGAAGACCACTTAACACCTAACCAATTATTGATGTATTATTTCATGTTATCTCTGACAATGCTTATGATGTAATTCTGCTTTAAAAGGGACCTGCCGTCCCCTCTGAATAAACATTCCTTAAGTTATTCAACAACCTGAAACCTGTGTCTGGTGTGAATTACTTCAGGGAGCGTGCACGCATTGTTTCCTTAATTTGGCCAGGGGCAGATACACAAAGAATAATCAATTGATTGATTGATTTTTCCATTTCAGGTTTAAATTCAAACTACCCCACAAAGGCCTACCATTTCTTAAAGTAGACACCCCAGGGTATTTCAAAAGGTATATTTTTAACCTTAGCGTGGGATCATTTTTCCGCTAGGTTGTACCAAGTGTAGTGGTAATAAGTGTTTTTCTGCCTTTTTGACACACAAAGTGAGTTTGCACAGTATATTTTGCAGCAATACCCCCGTATGTACCTTTGCCAGGTATATGTGGATGTTGAAGGGGCACATTTGAGACGCAGCCAGTTTTTTTCTAACTTTCACGTTTTACGCTGTGTCCATGTTCCAATTTGGAGTAGTTTAGATGGTTGGTTATTGAAACGTCCCCACAAATACATACTATTTATTAAAGAATACACCCTGGGGTAATTCAAAAGGTATATTTTGAATCTTGGCGTGGGATCATTTTTTCTCTAGTTTGTTCCAGGTGTAGTGGTAATGAGCATTTTTAAATGTATTTTTTTACTCTTTTAAACTTGTTTTACTTTTTAAAACTAGTTTTTAAACGTTTGTTTTGCTTATTAATTTTACATTTAACACAGATTTAAAATTTTTCTAAGCTTTTTTTTACCGTTAACCCCTAACTAGCAGTAAGCAGCACTAACAGTAAATTCCCCATATTCCCATAACTCCCACCCAGCCCAGCTAGCAAAATATATAATTATTGTAACTGTTGTCAGTGATCAATTGGCAGAGAAGGGGTTAATTTTTTTATTAAAATGGGTAAAAGGGGGTGGGATTTTAAATTAACTTTATTTTTTTCTAACAGGGACAAGATCAGTGATGATCCATCTCCCTGCACTTCACAGTGAACCCAGAAGTGCAGGGAGGCAGAAGGTGAGTATACTGAGCACATGTGCTCGCTCTGACAGGCTGTCAGAGCGAGCACATGTGCTGGGGCAGCCCGATCGGGTGCTCCCGGTCTGCCTCTAATACAAAGGCAGACCGGAGCACCATTAACCCCGCAATCGCGCTCACGGCAATCTGGGGTTAATTTTACCGCGTGACGGACAAGGCACGTCACTCGTCATTAAGGGGTTAAGAGAGCCAAATGTTTCTCTTGTTACACATTGAGGTCCTACAAACTCATAATTTTTTTATTTTTTAATCTTTTTTTATTTTTTTTACATTTTGCTTCCTGACGTGCATTGAAAGGCTTAATTAGAGCATGATTAACACTATATAATCATTGGGGGACCCTCACCCTCAGGGCCCCCCTTCCGCTGGGTTGAAGGGGTTAAAACTCATTCAGACACTTACCTTAATCCAGCGCCGGGCTCCCTCGGCGCTGGTGACCTCTCCTCCCCACCAACGTCAGCTCCCGAGCGGAGTGTAATGCGCATGTGCGGCAAGAGCCGCGTGCGCATTCTAACAGTCCATAGGAAAGCATTTCTCAATGCTTTTCTATGGACGTTCTGTACTCTGGGTGTGCCTCTAGCGGCTGTCAGAAAGACAGCCACTAGAGGTTGGATTAACCCTGCTATGTAAACATAGCATACATGTGAAAGGTTAAAAGCTGAGGGACATTGCACCCAGACCTCTTCAATGAGCTGAAGTGGTCTGGGTGACTATAGTGTCCCTTTAAGTGTCAATTCCATTTCCATCCATATTATGTGACAACTCCAAACATATTAAGGGTTAATTCCAGAATTCTGTGCAATATCCTTGAGTGGAACTGAAGAGCTCTTCTTTTCTAGTTATTTAACTAATTCCTAACCCATCTAACATATTGACAAATGCAAAAATAATACATAATTGCATAATTAAGATCCATATAAGAAAAGCAACAACAACAACAACAAAAACCTGTAACCTAAATGTCATTAAATAAAAAATATAAATAAAAATGCACAAAACAAGTTAGCTTTTGTGAGCCAACTTTCTAGCACTCAAAAGAGATAAAGTAGGTTTATATTTTTCCAAAAAAAGAGGAATCTTATTTGAGATTTCTGAAATAGAATTATAGTCATACCATTACCTCAAGGATTTATATGTTGATTATCTTTATAGTTACATACCTCTGCAAGAAAAGCCACTCCTTTTACAATGTTGAGACAGGGACGGGCTAGAAGAAAAAAAAAAAAAAACACAGAACTGCATGTATTTGCTTCCCTTTACGTGGCCCCATTCCTACATTTGCTCTTCAACCGAGTAGTTTTTTTATCTTCCTGAGTCGGCAGTTTAGATAGCTAATGCGCAATTGTTTAATCCAGGACTTGCTTAAAATAACTTTAAACAATTTAAAAGGTAAGATACATAACAAATCCTAGGATTTATATGATTTACAACAATGATGTAGTTTCTGCTGGAACATAGAAGAATTCATTTTTTACTAATGAAACGACAATGCTTTAGTATAGTAGCGGTTTTAGTACAACGCTTAACTACTAGGACAAGTATAAAAATCTAAGGACAGTTATAGTTGTCTCGTCTCATAGGATCACTGCTAAATGTTTAAAATTGTATAGTTGTTACATGATTGGGTGAAATTTGTAAATTCCTAAATTGTGAATTCGGAAAATTTAGCAGCCAGGGTGTGACCATAATTGATTTGAGAATATATATATAATTTTTTGTAAATCACCTATTTTCTGTTTAATTCTTGCAATTTGTTCCCTTTTTTACATTATTAAATGGATAACACCTCTGGGCATTTTAAAGATACTAAGCTCATGAAACTAAAGTACAATGAAGCATTTCAAATGCGATTTAGTAATATAACTAAATTTATTAAAGATTCACTAATCAATTTTAAAATAAAATGTTATAACCTTTCCTTATAATTACCATATAAGATTGATGAAGCAGTGGAATAAATAGAATTTGGTATTAAATTTAGTGAAATGTGTGCCTAAGTGACTGAGGATGATTATTTAAAATCTGTGTCTATTAAAATGCTAAATTGCACAGGGTAGTTTAAATGAAATGCCATTAATGTTAAAAAAAAAAAAATAGGGTATAATTCAATTGAAACACAAAAACAATAGCATTATGTTTATTTAAAACCTAGTTTCCATAGTGGGAACAGGAACTTAGGGTAAAAGAGGAATTTTGTTTATAGATGGCTATCAAAGGATGCATAAGTAATAAAAGTATAATGTACGTTGATTTTTTTTTTTTTTTTGTATTTCATCTTTTACATAAATATTCGGTGGCTATATGTTCATAGATATAACAGCAAAATATAAAAATAATGTCTGTATATAGGTATAATTTCAAGGCAAAGCAGGTACCGCAGTACCAATAGTAATTATGTGTGGTAAGTAGGGTTTTGCAAATGTCTCACATTATTCCTCTTTTTACTTTGTCCCTGATTTTTAAAATTAATTTTGAAAAGTTCAAATTGAAACTCTCTTATTGCGTTGGAGGATGGAAGAGGATGCTACAGTTTTAAGTCTCCTTGCAGAGGTATTAACGTACAAAATGTACAAAATGAGTATCCACTCGAGTATCCTATCTCTTTAACCCCTTAAGGACACAGCTTCAGAAGCTGGACATACTCTTAAAGACACAAGCAATATTTGCATTTTTTGCTGTTTGTGTTCAACTGTAATTTGCATCTCTCATTTATTGTACCAACAGATATTATATACAGTTTTTTTAGACAACAAAAAGGACTCTAATTTGATGTGACATATACATATATAAATTTTCATTTATTACAAAAAAATGCTAAATAATGTGGAAAAAAGTTTTGGCAATAATAATGTGTGCATAATATGTCCAGCTTAGGAAAAGTAATTCAAAATCAATTCATTTATGTGTCTTGATTTACAAAGTACATAATATGTGCAGGATTTCAGTTTATTTTGAAAGTTACAGGTCACAAACTACAAGTTCTAAAATAAAATTTCAATGTGAAACAATTTTAGTAGTTGGTATGTTTGTCTTGGAAGTTTAATACCCATTCCAGGAAACAAAATTGCCACACACAATTATATATTTATATAAAGTAGACATCACAGGCTATTTACTTAAGGTTAGTCTGACACTCTTTGCGTAGCCATTTCACCGCCAATCTCTGCTAAATATTGGAGTAAAATTGTGTTTTTTCTCTATTTTGGCAAATACACATATAACAAGGTTTTTGTAATGTGTATTTCGTAAACCTAGTGTGTGCTATCCCATATTATGTTCAGCTACATCTGCAGAGTACATCGATGCCCCCATTGTATACCTTTGCCTCTATTCTGTGAAACTACAATGCCATATAGGAGACCATGCTATTTCAGTTTCTATAGTTGGAATTTTCATAGATGGTCATATGTCTGATTTTGTGGCATTATAGCCATTTGACTGTTCAGATAACCCCACAAAGGCCTTCCATTTGAGAGAGCAGACACTCCAGGGTATATTAGGCATATATTATACCTTAACCTGCCACCATTTTTTCACCAATTTATTTCAAATTTTGTGGTTTTTTACATACATGTTGCATTTTCGCTGGGTATTTCTTGCATTTGATAAGTGCCACTGTCATAAATTCCCCCTAAGTATGCTCAGTTACATCTTCTGAGTAAAACAATAAGCCCAATGTATGACCTAGACACTATTTTGTGAAGTTACAGTGCTGTGAAAGAGACGTGACACGTTCAGGTTTTTAAGTGTGAATTTACATGGAGAGTTTTAATGGGTCCGTATTCTATTTTTAAATATGTTAGCAGGCTGCTTTAATTTTTCTGTTAGCTTGTATCAAATGTAGTGTTAATAAGCATTTTTTTTTCTGCCTTTTTGACACACAGTGAGTTTGTACTGTATATTTTGCAAACCTTATGTGTGCTACGGCTTTATAATACTTTATATGTTGCTCAGCTATGTTGTCTGAGTACAGAAATTCCCCCGTATATACCTTTGCCAGGTATATGTGGACATTGAAGGGGCACATTTCAGACACAGCCATTGCAGGTTTTTTCAAACTTTGAATTTTTACGCTGTGTTGCTACCCCACTTTGGAGTTTAGCAGACTATATGTTCCAACTATCCCATAAAAGCATACTATTTCTTAAAGAAGACATCCCAGGGTATTTCAAAAGGCATATTTTGAACCTTAGCGTGGGATCATTTTTCCGCTAGCTTGTACCAAGTGTAGTGGAAATAAGCGTTTTTTCTGCTTTTTTGACACACACAGTGAGTTTGTACTGTGTATCTTGCAAACCTTATGTGTGCTACGGCTAAATAATACTTCCTATCTTGCTCCGCTATGTCGTCTGAGCACAGCAATACCCCCATATATACCTTTGCCCGGTATATGCGGTTATTGAAGGAGCATATTTGAGACACAGCCATTTAAGTTCTTTCAAACTTTACATTTTTACGCTGTGTCCATACCTCATTTTGGAGGTTTATTTTGTAGGTTAATTATTCCAGCTACCCCATAAAGGCATACCATTTCTTAAAGAAGACACGCTAGGGTATTTCAAAAGATGTATTTTGAACCTTAGTGTGAAATAATGTTTCCGCTAGCTTGTACTAAGTGTAGTTGTAAAAAGCATTTTTTTCTGCTTTTTTGACACACATAGTGAGTTTGTACTGAATATTTTGCAAACTTTATGTGAGCTATGGCTATATAATACTTCCTAACTTGCTCAGCTATGTTGTCTGAGCACAGCAATACCCCCATATGTACCTTTGCCAGGTATATGCGGATATTGAAGGGGCACATTTGAGACACAGCCATTTAAGTTTTTTCAAACTTTACATTTTTACGCTGTGTCCATACCCCAATTTGGAGGTTTAATTGTATGTTAATTATTCCAGCTACCCCATAAGGGCATACCATTTCTTAAAGATGACACCCTTGGGTATTTCAAAAGACGTGTTTTGAACCTTAGATTGAAATAATGTTTCCGCTAGCTTATACCAAGCCTAGTGGTAATGAGCATTTTTTATGCCTTTTTGACATACTTAATGAGTTTGTAATATATATTTTGCAAACCTTATATGTGCTACAGCAGTATAATACATCATATGTTGCTCCGCTATGTTATCTGAGTAAAGCAATAACCCCATATGTACCTTTACCAGGTATATGACAACGTTGAAAGGGCACATTTGAGACACAGCCATTTAAGTTAGAATTTTTATGCTGTGTCCATGCCCCACTTTGGAATTTTTTTTAATAGGTTGTGTTTTCCAATTACTTCACAAAGGCATACCATTTCCAAAAGAAGACACCCCAGGGTGTTTCAAAAGGCATATTTGAAACCTTAGCGTGGTATCATTTTTTCGCTAGCCTGTACCAAGTGTAGAGGTAATATGCATTTTCCCCCTTTTTAAAACATTTTTTTTTTTAACTTTTTAAAAGTTTATTTTAGCTTTTATACAAAAAATATTTTTATGTACAAGCACTCTGTTATCCCTGTTGGTGCAAAGTATCGAGGTGGCCAGAATACCTCAAAATATACAAAATACAAGAAAATGATACTGCACTCACAAGTTCAATATAGATTTCATTGCTAAATTTAATGAATCATTAGTGAATTCATTATCTTACGTAGATATAATTCATTAATCAAGTATGTTTTAAAGTCTGAAAAATTGATAATATATACACGCTTAAATTAGAAATATGTACAAGTGAGTAAATTTAGTAGAAACAAAGCATTATGAGTCTACTGCTGTGACTTCATGTTAACTATAAGAGTCCCTGACCATGATATTAAATAGCTGTATCAGATATTCCAAAAAGTCATATCATCCAGAGAAAAACCGGATAAGTGGGAAAAAGGGGGAAAAAACAAAAAATATCAAAAAAGTTCCTTTCAAAAAATCAGAAAAAAAGAAAAAAGGAAAAAAAGTAAGTATATACAGTCCCAGTGTGTACACACTATAAAGTATGGGTGGATCTCACCAGTGGAGGTATAAATTCTGTTGTCCAGTATCTTTTAGTGTAAAGGTGAATCCCTGTAGTTGTAGTTCCTCTTTTCTTCTTCTTTTGCAGGTAGTGTATATAGAACAGTTCCTCACTTATTCCTCATTGATCCCTGAGGTGCCAATATGTATGCTTTGTTAGCTGGTGCAGGGTCTCCTGTGCGGGCTGCGCGCTCGGGATGTAGATAAATCCCTTCAATGGCCCTGTCAGAAAAAAGCAGTATGAGTCCCATACTTATATGTAGTATGGCGCGCCCGCCTGGTGTAAATTTTTAAAGAACAGTGATGTACATTTAAAAAAAGGGAATCATTTTAACATGAAGTATTAGCTGTAATGAAATTTTTATCCAATAAAGGGATATTGATCATATTTGTATATATATATATATATATATATATATATATATATATACTTAGGGGTTATTTATACCTAAGGGGGCTAGAGAAGATCATCATTTTCATACAAGAAAGGAGGAGTTAGGGTCAATAGTATACTGTGGCTCATAGAGAGTCTAACGTTAATTGGAATAGCTATGCTTCTAATAATTAGAACCCCAATTTCATATTCATGATTTAATTGTAATGTGTATAGAATTTTACTTCAGAAATATAGTCACTAATGTAAGAACCATCCCTTCAAAAAATGCCAATACCTAATCCAATGAATGTGAAGTAATTAAAAGCTCAAGATATAGTATGATTACAACAGTTAATCAGCGGTGACCATTCACCCGTTTAGATACAGGGCGGACTGGCCCACCGGGATACCGGGAAATTTCCGGCACCTGGGGGCCGGCCGTGTTCCTGGCTGGAGCCGCCGGGCCGGGTGGCAGCTTCCCCGGTCCCGCGGCCCTGCTCCTCTAACTGCTGTGGCTGATGGAGGAGGAGCATGTCTCTGTACCATGCTCCCTCGCGGTCCCGGCACAGAGACATGCTCCTCCTCCATCAGCCACAGCAGTGACAGGACAGAGGAAGCTGCCACCCGGCCCGGCGGCTCCAGCCAGGAACGCGGCCGGCCCCCTGACTTGTCCAGGTAAAGGGGGGGTGGAGAGGGGAATAGAGGGAGGAGGGAGAGACACAGGGAAAGGGAGAGAGATGGGGAGGGACACAGGGAAAGGGGGCAGGGAGGGAGGAGGGGAAAGACACAGGGAAATGGGGAAGGAGAGAGATAGGGAGAGACACAGGGGAGAGGGAGAGAGATGGGGAGGAGGGGAGAGACACAGGGAAAGGGGGGAGGGAGAGAGATGGGGAGGATGGGAGAGACACAGGGAAAGGGGGGAGGAAGAGACACGGAAAGGGGGTGAAAGAGGCAGAGGGGGAAGAGAGAGACAAAGAGGGAGAAATGAGAGAGAGACACACAAGGGGAGGGGAAGAAAGAGGCAGAGGGGGAAGAGAGAGACTTGGAAGGAAAGGGGAGACATTGACACAGAGGAGCAGTGAGGGGGAGAAAGAAACATACAGAGTGACTGGGGGAGACAAAAAGGCACGGCCGATCTCCCTTCCCGTTCCACAGGCACCGTGCAGCCAGTCGGCAGGGGAGGGCAATGCTCCAGCTCTCACAAGGGTGAACTCTAGCCCTGGAGCTATGGGCTAGAGTTCACTCTCACCACTTCCTGGTGGTCCCAGTAGTAGAAGTGAACTCTAGCCTCATACACACATTGCCCCACACACACACCATACACATTCACACACTGCCCCCACACACACACACCATACACATTTACACACTGCCCACCCACACACTGAACCTTTCACACACATTGCACCACTGCTCCTATACCCTACTACAGCCCCATATCCCAGCAGACTCCAGGTAAGTTGTCAAAATGTTGTTAAACGGTTTGACGACTTACTCTGGGAGGGGGTGCCGACGCTCCTGGCACCATAACCACTACACAGAGGAGTAGTGGTTATTGTGCATGGAATATTTCTTTAAATAATCTACAAGTGCCCCTCTCAGGCTCAGGCTCTGGATCCGCCACTAGTATATGACATGTATATTAATGTGTGTATTAGTTTTATATATATATATATATATATATATATATACCTATTATATTTACACATATTAATGTACATTTATAAATGCATAATACACAGAGAAATTTCATTAATATGTACCATATGTAATGAGCAGATATTGGCCCAGTCTTGTTGCTAGGTGCATACTCCAGCACAATAACATATTTAAAGTGAAGAGCACACCCACAGGACTTCAAAATAAACATTTTTTACAGTTGTGCCCTACATACATTCACCATTTCAGTCCCATTAACAAGCTTTCCTTAATATGTCAAGGTAGTTGGACTGAAACATTGATTACATGCAAAGGCACGTCTGCTTAAAATAAATCTGCACTTTTGTTTATTTTGAAGCCTATGGGTGCGCTTTTTACGTTGAAGTACTTTTTAATTTTAAGTTATCTGTTCTAACTCTGTATCTGCACACTATGCTGGCGCGACGCATTATGGGGATGGTAAATATTTTTTTTCCAGGGCTGCTTTTAATTCCCAGTCCGGCCCTGTTTAGATATCATATTTTTATTAATGTTTGTGAATTTATTGTTGCATACTCACCAGCAGTGTAGTGTGTGAAAAATGCATGTGGTTTCTCGCACGTTGGACCCCATGATTTCCCGGGTAACGGACCACAAGATGGTCAAACTCTTTAATAGCTCTTAAGTAGTAAAAGTGACAGGCATGCCATATAGGGTCCCAATGTCTAGCTGTGGATATAAAATAATACATTAGCCCAAGTTAATGGACCAAAGGTAGAAAGGTTGAACAGTATCCTAAGTCGTCCTTCAAAAAATGTTTGAGGTCATAGTCCTCATTCAAGCCATTCGGGTGGAGTGTTTCCAGAATACTAATCCACTTTGTCTCTTTGCATAAAAGTGCTTTTTGTCTGTCTCCACCTCTACGCAACGGTTTAACACCATCAATTACCTGAAATCGTAATTGATTGACATTATGACCATGCTGTAGGAAATGCCTTGGTACTGGTTTGTCACACGTCCCTTTCTGTATGGCAGCTCTTATGTCCCTCTTATGTTCTCCTATGCGTATTTTCACTGGCCTAATAGTTTCCCCAACATAGAGAAACCCACATGGGCATTTCAGAATGTAAACCACATATTCTGAGTTGCAAGTGTAATATTCAAGTATTTTAAAGGGTTTGCCTGATCTCGGATGTACAAAATGATCACCCCTGATTACAATGTATACAGTTTAGGCACGGGAATGTGCCTTTCTTCAGAGGTTCAGAGAAAAATCTTCTCTGTTTTTTGTTGCTGCCTATGTCTGAGTGCACTAATTTATCCCTAAGATTCTGTGCCCGTTTATACGAGAACAGTGGAGGATTCCTAAATTCAACTGGTAAATTAAGATCGCCCTCAAAGATGTTCCAATGCTATAATATGATCTTTTTAACAGCATTACTATAAGGCGTGTATGGGGATATAAACGGAATTCTTTGTATAGTGTCCTTATTTCTGCCCATAGGGTTAAGTACTTCTCCCCTGTTCATATCTGTTATCCTGGCTCTGTGTCGTGTCACTAGTTCTAATGGCTAACCCCTATCAATGAATTTATTGCACATGTACTCCATCCCTGGTTCTACACGATCTTCCTGTGAGATTATTCTTTTCACTCTCAGCATTTGGCTGTATGGTAAGCCATCCCTAAGATGTTGGGGATGGAAGCTGGTGTATTCCAAAAGATTATTTCTATCAGTAGGTTTTGTGTAAATGTCTGTGTACAGTTTATTGTCAATCAGGTGTACCTGGGTATCCAGGAATGGAACCATGTGTCTATCACAGGCCATGGTGAATTTGATGTTAGGGTCCAGGGAGTTCAATTGGTCAAACAAATTGTCCAACTGGACCCTCGTCCCCCCCCAACATACAAACACATCGTCAATGAACCTCTTCCACGTGAGGCATTTCTCAAAAAGTGGAGTGGTGTATATGTATAGTTCCTCCAACTTATTCATATATATTTTCGCATAAGTGGGGGCTACATTCGAGCCCATTGCTGTCCCTTTGATTTGCCTATAAAAATTATCTTCAAAAAGAAAATAATTCTCAGTCAGGACAAACCGTAGTAGTTCCAATATGTATATCTTGGTATCCAAAGATTGGGTTAATATTGGGTCCTGATCTAATGTCCACTCGACTGCTCGTAGTCCCCCTATATGATCAATAGCTGTATATAATGATTGTACATCTAGCGTGACCAGCCAAACCTCTGTGGAATGTTCAATATTGAGGTTGTCAATTAATTTAAAAAAATCATTTGTGTCCTTAATATATGATTTTTGTTTTGAAATGTACTTGATCAAGAATTTATCTAACATTACTGCTGGTGGTTGTAAGATGGAGTCCATACCACTGACTATGGGCCTTCCTGGTGGGGTCTGTAAATTTTTGTGTATCTTTGGGAGAGTATAGAAGACAGGTGTTGTTGGATATTTTTTGGACATGTATTTATATTCTCCCTCAGTGATAATGCCTTTGTCCATGGCTACCCTATTTAGTGTCTGTAATTCTCTCTGTAACCGCTGGATGGGATTCCCATCCACTGGTTGATAACTGAATATGTCATTCAATTGTGATCTAATCTCCTTGACATAGTAATCCCGATCCATGATGACAAGTGCCCTACCCTTATCTGCTGGTTTGATGATAATCGAATTGTCCTCTCTGAGTGTATTGAGTACCTGCCAATCTTTCTTAATGAAGTTGGGTTTATGCTGAAAATTTCTACTCTTCCCCTGTTGTTTTCATCTCAGTTTCTTAATATCTTTTTTGATTAAATTAGAAAATATATCTATAGACTGATTGAATATGTAGGGTGTGAATGTGCTGTTTGGTTTCAAACCAAAGTGGTAATGATAAAGCAGGCGTTGATGGTGTCGGTTGGTGTGTCTCTATATTCTCTTGTCCGTAGATATTGGTCTGGGCTAAAGTAGTTCTGTGGAAATTCTCCATAGTCGTCATTGACGTGGAGCTGATAGGACCACCTTCCATGTCTGTATTAAAAAAATATGCTTTTAGTTTTAATTGTCTCAAAAATTTGTATATAGACACATCATATTCATGCCATTGTGGTATGGGGGTGGGAACAAATGATAGACCCTTATTCAGTACTAATTCTTCCTGTGTGCTTAATGGCCTACCTGATAAGTTGTATATTAATTTTCCGCCTGCTGGTTGGTAACTTCGCTCTCCTTCTGTCCTGTGTGCTTCTTGTGGTAACCCCCCCTCCCGACTGGTCTCTAATCCTGGGTGTCCCCTAAAAAAGTGGTTCCAAAAGAGGAGGAGGCAGAGGAGGATGTAGATGGTGCATCCGAGTCCTGTTGCCATTTCGTGTTGGAACTTCCTTTATTCACCCTGTATTGTCTAAATTTTTTTGACCAATTGAACTCCCTGGACCCTAACATCAAATTCACCATGGCCTGTGATAGACACATGGTTCCATTCCTGGATACCCAGGTACATCTGATTGACAATAAACTGTACACAGACATTTTTCACAAAACCTACTGACAGAAATAATCTTTTGGAATACACCAGCTTCCATCTCCAACATCTTAGGTATGGCTTACCATATAGCCAAATGCTGAGAGTGAAAAGAATAATCTCACAGGAAGATCGTGTAGAACCAGGGATGGAGTACATGTGCAATAAATTCATTGATGGGGTTACCCATTAGAACTAGTGACACGACACAGAGCCAGGATAACAGATATGAACAGGGGTGAAGTACTTAACCCTATGGGCAGAAATAAGGACACTATACAAAGAATTCCGTTTATATCCCCATACACGCCTTATAGTAATGCTGTTAAAAAGATCATATTATAGCATTGGAACATCTTTGAGGGCGATCTTAATTTACCAATTGAATTTAGGAATCCTCCACTGTTCTCGTATAAACGGGCACAGAATCTTAGGGATAAATTAGTGCACTCAGACATAGGCAGCAACAAAAAACAGAGAAGATTTTTCTCTGAACCTAAGAAAGGCACATTCCCGTGCCTAAACTGTATACATTGTAACAGTATAATCAGGGGTGATCGTTTTGTACATCCGAGATCAGGCAAACCCTTTAAAATACTTGAATATTACACTTGCAACTCAGAATATGTGGTTTACATTCTAAAATGCCCATGTGGGTTTCTCTATGTTGGGGAAACTATTAGGCCAGTGAAAATACGCATAGGAGAACATAAGAGGGACATAAGAGCTGCCATACAGAAAGGGACGTGTGACAAACCAGTACCAAGGCATTTCCTACAGCATGGTCATAATGTCAATCAATTACGATTTCAGGTAATTGATGGTGTTAAACCATTGCGTAGAGGTGGAGACAGACAAAAAGCACTTTTATGCAAAGAGACAAAGTGGATTAGTATTCTGGAAACACTCCACCGGATGGCTTGAATGAGGACTATGACCTCAAACATTTTTTGTAGGACGACTTAGGATACGACAGCACTGTTCAACCTTTCTACCTTTGGTCCATTAACTTGTGCTAATGTATTATTTTATATCCACAGCTAGTCATTGGGACCCCATATGGCATGCCTGTCACTTTTATTACTTAAGAGCTATTAAAGAGTTTGACCATCTTGTGGTCCGTTACCCGGGAAATCACGAGGTCCAACGTGCGAGAAACCACATGCATTTTTCACACACTACACTGCTGGTGAGTAACATGCAACAATAAATTTACAAACGTTAATAAAAATATGATATCTAAACGGGTGAACGGTCACCGCTGATTAACTGTTGTAATCATACTATATCTTGAGCTTTTAATTACTTCACATTCATTGGATTAGGTATTGGCATTTTTTGAAGGGATGGTTCTTACATTGGTGACTATATTTTTGAAGTAAAATTCTATACACATTACAATTAAATCATGAATATGAAATTGGGGTTCTAATTATTAGAAGCATAGCTATTCCAATTAACCTTAGACTCTCTATGAGCCACAGTATACTAATGACCCTAACTCCTCCTTTCTTGTATGAAAATTATGATCTTCTCTAGCCCCCTTAGGTATAAATAACCCCTAAGTATATATATATATACAAATATGATCAATATCCCTTTATTGGATAAAAATTTCATTACAGCTAATACTTCATGTTAAAATGATTCCCTTTTTTCAAATGTACATCACTGTTCTTTAAAAATTTACACCAGGGAATCTTGACAGGTGTATAGTCGCCATTTTGGGCAGTCGGAATCCAGGACAATTACCCCATAACCTAACCCAATAACACACGGACACTAAGGGATATGGGGAAATTTGTCCACAGCTTTATTAAGCAAACAATAATAATAACAACAATAATAATAATAATAACTTAACAAGTAAAACATGGGTCATTGCCCCCCATACTCCGCCCTCGCATCCTATTCCTTCCATTAACATATAAAGGGCAATGACCCCCATGTAAATAAACATATATATATATAACATACATCAACATTATTCCAATCGATGTAAAGTGCCAACCATCCATTAGCCACGGCAGGGGTATACCCGGATACCCCTACCCCACCAGGTTCTGAGCCACCGACAGGACTCGAAACCTATCAACCACCGATGACCACCACTTGTTTATTTTCCATTACGTTCATCCTGGGGAGCCTATTTCCTTTCCTTCAGCTCCCCATCCCGCCATAAGCTCAGACCTTGACCCCTTAAGCCGTCTGAGCTCCGCCACCCCGAAGAAATAGCGCCCGCTGCATACCAACCTGCCAACCCAAGTTTAGCAGATCCCAACCCACCTCAGAAAGATGAACCCCGTCCGAGCGGTAGTACCCCGGCAACCCCTCTTCCAACTCGCCGTGCCGTACCACCACGCCCCCCACCTTCCTAACAAAGCTTGCCATCAGGCTGTTCACTTTTTTCCTGCACTGATTGATAGCCACCGGATCCCGGGCGTGCCGCCACCGACACCTAGGGACAATCTCTGACCACACTAACATAACCCCCGGAAGCAGGTCCCTCAGTTTGTTGATGTCCTGCTTCATCCATTTTACCAACCGGCGTGAGGCCCAAGTCATTACCCCCGGCATGAAGGACCACCATGTCCGGCGCTTTTCCGTCCGTAACCATCCTAAACATTGCCCCACAAACCTCCCCCCAGCAAAATCCCCGGTACCCGAACCACCGGACTGCCAACTGGTCCTTCAGAAAGCCCAGCTGCTGGCCTTGCGTTCGAGCTGCGGCCCTCCTCTCGGCCCAGAAGACAAAAGAATGTCCCACAATCCAAGCAACCCTTCTTGGGGAGAAGAAGAAAACAAGCGTGAGGGAAAGGCAAAGGGAAACTCCTCCGTTCATGCCCGCCCCCGTACCTTATATATACATATACATATACATACATGTACACACACTTTTTTTTTTTTTTTTTAATATTATTATTATTCCAATAAGCCCAACCGTACATATGAACGGAACCGCACCGACGCCCATCTCCCTATGCGCTTCACGACCTCATCTCCTAGTCCCAACCGTGCGGCCTCCGTGGCTGCCCCTATGCGAAAGGAGTGAGTACCGAAACGTCCGGCCGGAAGCCCCAACTTACCTAGCCCAGACCGAAAAACCTTCGTAAACTGAAATCGGGACAGGGAAGAACCATCCGTATGCACCAAGAAGGAACCCCCTACCGCCGGCCTCCGGGCCATGTACTCCGCCACTGCAGCCACCGGGCACAATACTGCGCCCGGCAGTGCCCATAGTGTCATGTCCCGACCCACGCCGCGGACGTCTGTTTTTGACTTACCCAGATGCACAACCACCTTACCCTCCAAAACACGAACCCCCGAGGCCTGCAAACCCCCGGGCATGACCCTACTGGCACTCACTAGCTCCCCCACGCGGAACGCCCCGAAGAATGCCAAGAGAAAGGCCGCTCTGAACAAAGAGACCTCGAACCCGTTGAAACAAATTTCCGGCAACAGACCCACCAGATCCCCCAACACCCGTACAGACACCGGGCGCCTAGAGTCACATGACCTGCGGCGCTTTCGATAACCCTTTAACGCCTGTCGAACTAAGAAGGTCTTGGTCAGATCCTCCTTCCCGCGCCACCGGAACCAGAATGCCATTGCCGCCATGGACCTGTCGACCACTGCCGGGGACGCCCCCTTTGCCAGCAATTGACAGGTGTACCACAGAAAAGCGTCCCGCAGCGCATCCCCTTGTAAGACATGATCCAACCCGTCTAATGACCGTTCCCAAGAGTCCCAGACCTTACTGTAGGAGGCCCATGTGGCCGGTGCCAGTGAAGCCTTCACAAGTCCCCCAAGCAGGATGCTCCCAGCTGCCATATCTCGTCCGGGCACGCCTGCCCCTCCTTCAATGCCCCTGGCGCCATCGTCCAAAATCGGGACCACTGAAAACGAGACAGAGCGTCAGCCACTTCGTTCAGGTACCCAGGGACATGACACGCGCGAAAAACAACATTCCGTGACATACACATTAACACAAAGCGCCGCAGCAACCTAACCACTGGCTTAGAGGCAGCCGATTGATTATTCACTGCGTGCACCACCGCCATGTTATCCGAGAAAAAGACCACTTTCTGGTCCCGGAGCCCCTCGCCCCACAGTGCCATTGCAACGACCAACGGGAATAATTCCATAAAAGCCAGGTTGCGCATGACCGGGCTGGACCCCCATGTCTCCGGCCACCGCTCCGCGCACCATCTCCCGCCAAAGTAGGCTCCGAAGCCCACACTACCCGACGCATCCGTGAAGAGCTCCAGCTCCGACGCCGACTTACCTGCCTGCCGGAAAAACACCGTCCCGTTGAAGTCCTGCAGGAAGGCATCCCAAATGCCCAAATCAGCCCTCATGGCTGCCGACACCCGTATGAAGTGGTGTGGGGATCGAACCCCTGCCGTAGCAGCCGCCAGGCTGCGGCTGAAAACCCTCCCCATAGGAATTACACGGCATGCAAAGTTCAGCATCCCGATCAATGACTGCAGTTGCCGCAGCGTAACCTTGCGCGCAACGGTCACCGCAGCCACTGCATCCCTGAGCCCCTCCAGCTTGTCCCGAGGCAGCCGGCATTCACCCAAGACCGAATCTATTTCCAACCCCAGGAAACTAAGGCACGTCGCCGGGCCCTCCGTCTTATCCGCTGCCAGCGGCACCCCGAAGTGTCCCGCCACCCATTCCATGGTCCTAAGCAGTTGCTGGCATGCCGAGGAGGCAGCCGGCCCCACGCAAAGGAAATCGTCCAAGTAGTGCACTACTGAACGGCTCCCCGCCTCCACCCGCACCACCCATTCGAGAAAAGTACTAAATTTCTCGAAATAGGAGCATGAAATGGAACAGCCCATAGGGAGGCACAAGTCCACGAAATATTTCCCCTCGAAAAAACATCCCAGCAGGTGGTGACAGTCCGGGTGGACCGGCAGCAGCCGAAACGCTGCCTCAACATCCACTTAGCCATAAGCGCCCCATGCCCGGCCCGTTTAACCAGCTCGACCGCCCGGTCGAATGATGCATACGAGACCGAGCACAAGTCCTTATCAATACCGTCATTCACCGACTCCCCTTTCGGGTAGGAGAGGTGGTGAATGAGCCGGAACTTCCCCGGCTCCTTCTTTGGCACCACCCCGAGAGGGGAAACCCGGAGGCCCTCCAATGGGGGTACCGTGAACGGGCCCGCCATCCGCCCTAGCTTAACCTCCTTGTCTAGTTTTTCCCGTACCACCCCCGGGAAATCCGCCACCGACTTCAGGTTGCGCAACCCCCCCGATCCCCCCCGCTCCCGGAAGGGGATAAAGAAACCGCGCCCGAAGCCCTCCCGAAGTACCGAGGCATCAGCCCTGTTACCGTAGCGGCTTAGCCACGGCTCCATCGCGTCTAGCCTCACCGGTGTGAAGCCCCGGGGCAGGGGAAGCACTCCCTCCGGCCCCGGCGGCCGCTCCGGTGGTTCCCGCCTTCCCTTTTTTGAAACAGCGATTGACACGCGTTTCACCATTTGCACTGGCCCTCGTTGTAGAGCCAGCAGAAGCCCTTTTGTAAAGCGGCCGACGAGGCGGACTGCCCCTTCGCGCCGGCCGAGTTTTGAAAGGGCTGCGCCTTCTGAGCCATCATTAGCTTCATCCAGAGAGGCAGATCCATCTGATCCCACCTCATACCCGGGTTAGCCGCCAGTCGCTGCCTGAACTGTTCATCGTACCGCCACCATGCCAGCCCCCCATAGGTGTGGTATGCTTCCCAAATGCCGTCCAAGTAGCAAAACAGGGACGAGCATAATCCCGGCGATTTTTCACCGAGCACGCTGGCCAGCATGCAAAACGCCCTCAACCAGTTACCAAAGGATTTCGGAATCTTGCGATACCGCTTCCTTTTCTCCTCCTCCTCCTTCTTCTCATCCTTCTTATCCTCCTCTTTGAGGTCAATAAAGTCCCCCAAGGGGAGCAGGGAGAAGATCTCGCAAAACTCACCTTTCCAGAGCTTCTCTTTCACGTCCTGTTTCAGATGAACCCCCAGGGGGCCCGCAAACGAGACATACGCGTGCTGCCTCGCCGCGTCCGGAATACCCCCGGCCAGTGCCGCCCTGTCACTCCCGGCCGCCGTCGCCTCGGGCGCCACCCCAGCGTCCCCGCCCGAGCTAAGCCCCGCGGAAACCCCACTAGAACCAGGGACCTCAGTCCCCAGTGCCCAGACCCGACCAACGCCGCCCCCCGTGTCACCCCCCGCCCCCAGTGAGTGGAGCAGTGCTTGAAGTGTGCTAACTAAGGAGCTGGAGTGTAGTGATCCACAAGACTCACTGGCCAAGCCCCCTGATACCAGAGCGGCAGGGGCTGCGTCGTCGACTGCCCGATGTCCAGGGAGAGCGACTCCCGCCGATACCTCGCCAACCGGGGAGCCAAACCGGTGCCTTGCCCGTGTCGATATGGAACGGCTCCGTGACCTGGAAAGAGGAGAAGAGGTCCTGGGTAGGGTGCACTGAGTACCTGCTTCCCCCCGTCCCGACCCTGGGAGCGCCTGCCCATTGCCAAGGCCTCCCGCTGCGCCCCCCGCGTGCACTGCGCGCGGGAGCCCCTAGGGCTACGACTCCTCCTGTCCCCTCCTGGTAACCGTCCCCGCCGACCACCCCTGGGGACGCTAGCCCTGCCCTCCCCTGAGCTACCTGACGTGGAGCGGTGCTGCCGGGACCTCCCCCTCCTCCCCCTGGGCTCTAAGTCCCGAACTGGAGAGAGACTACCACTACCAGACCCTGAACCAGAACCCCCCTCCTACTACCCTGCACCCCCAAACGCTCACCCTTCCAGCGAGAGCCCGACCCCCCACCCGAAGTGGCTCCCAGACTAAGGGCACCCGGACCCCCCTCAACCATACTGGCTGAGGAAGCCCCCCCAACCCCTAAACCAGGCCTACCCGACCCTACCTGCCCAGGCCTAGCCCCAGCACCCGTGGAGGCCCCCCTCCCCCCACCAGGTGAGCCCAGCAGCCCCTCACCACCCCCAGCCCCCTCTCCCCTACTACTACTCCCCCCACCTGTGGCCCCTGTGCCCCCCCCATTCAGCACCAGTGATCCCAGGGGGGCCTTCCCGCCCCCCACCTGGGCCCTCCGACCCCCACCCCCTGCCAAGACCCCCCCAGCGCTTCTCCCGCCAAGGGGGCCCCGGCCGGAGCCCCCTGCACTTGCCTTTGGGGCCGGGAACCGGCCACGTGTCCTCCCGGTCCCGGCACCGCCGACCTCCGCCTCCGACGGGGTGGGCGACCTCCCGGGCCGCACCTCCATGCCGCCTGCTCCTCCAGGGGACCGCCCGGCCACGTCCGACCCGGCAGCCGCGACGGCCCCGTCTCGACCGTCCCCCCGGCGCCGGGCACTGGTCCTAGGCCCCGGCCGCTCGCGGGGAGGCGGGGCCTCTACCACGCGGCTGCCGGGCCTGCTGCCGCCCGCACCGGAGCCTCCCGGACCACCAGGGACGTCTTCACCGGGTCCCCCACCCGGGCTTAGTCTCTCCGGAGGCCTCCTGGCCCGAACAGGCCTGCCACCGCCGCCGTCCCGGTTCGCCGCCTCCGCCAGGGCCGGGCCTAGCTGGGCCCTCAGCCAGTCAGCCCCCTGGTGCCTCGCCGCCGACCGGATCTCCTCCAGCAGTCGCTCCACTTCGTCCATCGGTCCTGCAGGGAGACAAAAGAAGAAAAAACCCTACCAAGCCAAATCTGTGCCCACAGGAGCGAACACAAACTTAACCAGGTAGGAAATTAGAATGACTTACCTAAAATGGCTGCCCATTTAAATAACCAAACCTACTTACCCATAACTCCACTCCCTTGCTTACTTCCTCCTAAGCCCGCCTCCTAACCCCTGTCAAGGCCTTTTTTCGCTTAGCTGCGCTTGGCTACATGGGGCTACATTCCTTTCCCATACATATGGATTGAAGAGGATTGTGTATATATGTTTCTTTTTTTATATATTCAGCTTTTTTATATTTGTTCTTTATGTAATAGATTTAGTGAATGCATTATAACTTATACATCTGTTTATTGAATGAGGACATTTACATGGACATTTACATAAAGTTAACGGCACGCACGTCGGGCGTAGTAATCTGACGTGTGCACCATGACGCTAAACAGACGCGACCCACTGTCGTGAGCGTCATGACGTCATTCGGGCGCGACCCGCGCATACAAGCGGGCGCGCCATACTACATATAAGTATGGGACTCATACTGCTTTTTTCTGACAGGGCCATTGAAGGGATTTATCTACATCCCGAGCGCGCAGCCCGCACAGGAGACCTTGCACCAGCTAACAAGGCATACATATTGGCACCTCAGGGATCAATGAGGAATAAATGAGGAACTGTTCTATATACACTACTTGCAAAAGAAGAAGAAAAGAGGAACTACAACTACAGGGATTCACCTTTACACTAAAAGATACTGGACAACAGAATTTATACCTCCACTGGTGAGATCCACCCATACTTTATAGTGTGTACACACTGGGACTGTATATACTTACTTTTTTTCTTCTTCTTTTTTTTTCCTTTTTTCTTTTTTTCCCCTTTTTTTTCTTTTTTTCTGATTTTTTGAAAGGAACTTTTTGATATTTTTTGTTTTTTCCCCCTTTTTCCCCACTTATCAGTTTTTTCTCTGGATGATACGACTTTTTGGAATATCTGATACAGCTATTTAATATCATGGTCAGGGAAGGGGTTAAATTTTATTTGAAAGAGGTGAGGGTGGGATTTTTGTAACTAACTTTTTTACACAAAGAGACAGATCAGCACCAATCTGTCTCTCTCCACTTCACAGCTCACACTGAGCTGCAGGGAGACAGATCGGGTCTCACTGCAGCAGTGTGATCGCTCTGAATCAGTGAAACTGCCTGCTGTAGTGTGCCTCCGATATGGAGACACACTACAGGAACATTAACCCCACGATTGCCGCGATTGTGGCAATCTGGGGTTAATTTTAATTTTGGACGGAAAATTTCCTTCCAGCATTCTTAAGGGGAGTACTGCAATGACGGAAAACTTCCGTCCATCGTCCTTAAGGGGTTAAGGACCAAACTTCTGGAATAAAAAGGAATCCTTAAGGGGTTAATGCCTGAGAAAAATTCTGCAGAACAGAGGAAGGTTGGGACAGTATGGGTTACATTGTGCACTGTATTGCTTTGCAGCACAAAACAAAATTAAAAAATATTTATTGCAAGATTTTGATTTTTGTTCGTTGGTATGGTACAATATAGGAAATTAGGGTAGTGATCTGGGAAATTTATTTACAAATTAATCAACTGGGGAATGAATTGAATGGACAAATATTGAATGAAAAGATATTTTCTTCTCCTTTGGTACATATGATGAAAATATCATCATTATCAGTTTTTTAAGGAAATAGAAGTTTTTTTATGTTTAATAGAAAGGTACATGTAACAAATGCTGGTATTTCATTACCCGTTCATTTGGTTCCTCCCGAACTGCTAGGTATTCAGTGATTATAGCGCACAGTTCGGGCACTGATTCATATGTTCCCAAGAATCAAAGTGCATCATATAAGTAAATTCAGCGGTTCAGCAATCCCTTCCCCAAACATCAGTGTAGACTACATAAAGGGTACAACTCTGACAGTCCTTTATTGGTGCACACAGCATTTATGCATTGCCCAATGCAAGGTGTCTTCATCCCCAAAAAACAGGGGTCATATCCCAGGATCCTCCACACCCGGGGGCCAAAAGCGGGAAAAGAGGTTGCTGTCCCTTTGTCTCCCAGGTATGGAAAGCCCTCCCCCCAGACGAGGGGTCTCCCACACAAAACGACAGAGGGATCTTCATCCCAGGAGTCTGTTCCTGGGAGCCAAAGCACAGGAAAAGAGGTTGTCCCCTTGTCTCCCAGGCACAGAAAAGCCCACCAAACTAGCTAGTGCCCCAAAAGTATCCCCACCAATCTCAGAAGCCCCCACAGTGGCATTTCCCCCAACCAGTCTCCATTTGCGAGCACAGGGGAGAACTACTTAATTACTTCTCTTGCAGCTTCACACTTATGTTGCAAGTGCAAATGTTCTGATTTATTGCTGGGAACTTTCTAATGGGGCACCGGGATGGTCCCCATTTGGGAGACGATTGAGTCCCGTTCGTATGAATGCTCCCGAACGGGAAACAAGCATTACATACGAAAAGCTAGGGGAAACAAGGTAATTCAAAAGGGAAACACACAAATGAATGAGACTCTGCTACAGGCATCATGCAGTTTCGTCACAGTACAGAAAAAAGTGATGAGGATGGACTCACAGGTCTCCGCCACTCCAACAAAATGTCATAGTAAATAGCATTCTTGAACAAATAACTCAATAAACATGAGTAGTAGGGTAGCATGATGCACATGCAAAATGATACAGTAACATTGCTCCATAGCTGTTAGCCAGGTAGTGGGTACAGAGTCATCTACCTAGGAATGCATTCTGCTGACATTGAATTGTTCTACCGCCCTCCGAAAAGGAATCAGGTGAGCATGCATGATATGGAGGAACCTGGGCAATATTTGGAATACTAACTGAGAGCAGATGACTAGTCTATCCATGTTGTGTAAGGGGGCAGTTGTGGTTTGCTGAGCTCCAACATATGGGTACAGAGTCATTGGGATGGCCTCTCACCGCTTTACCCATCCCCCCTCCCAGAGCTAGGAGTATGGCCAAAGTCGGGGTGGTCTATGCTATCCCTTTTGCTACATCCCCTATTCCAACGACCCGACCTGCATTCACAGCTTCCAGATACATAATACGTAAATGTTTTCGTTGCAGTAACCTCTTGTCCCATGACTTCTCTCTCTTAGACAGGCCAGCTATGGTTTGTATTGCAGAGAGCCGGTAGTTGCAGTAAAGTGGGATTTGGCAATGTTCAAATTAGTCCTAGGAAAGTAGAAAGAAAAAAGGTATCAAGGAAAGCTCAGCGAAAGGAAGTATAGAGCAAGTAAAGTATAAAGGTATTGGGGCACTCCCCGCTGGGGTCCTTCCCCCCCACCCCCCTACTGCTCAGCAAGTTCTCCATCCATCCCGCTCCACCAGGTATAGTATCTATGGCTGCAATGGCTCAGCATGTTTATCACCGGTATTAGTGAGTGAGGCCTGAAATGATTCAGCTGCCTTGATCTCTCCCACTCTCTCCATCCATTGCTCCATCGTGGGAGACGTGTATTGTTTCCAAAGCATTGGTATGAGGGATTTTGCAGCATTAAGGAGGTATCTAAGTATCGTTTTACTTTATTTGCTGACTGTTTTACTGTTTTCAAACGCTAATGTTTGTGTTCCATCGTGGCCTCCTGAGTAAAACAGCACCCCCCATGTATAGGTTTTATGGTATCCTAGAAAGTTACAGGGTTAAATACAGGGCTTGCGAGACAAATTCTCTGGACTTTCAGCCTGGGTTGTCGGGCAGGTCCCTCAAATTGTAATTAATAAAATGACTTGATTAATGTAAAAATATTATATAAATATATTTGTAGAATTTAAATATATATATATATATATATATATATATATATATATATATATATATATATATATATATATATATATGGCTAAGCCTGTTGGTGAAGCCTGAAATTGTGGGAGTGGTTAGTTTGCCTATAAATATACATGCTTCCCCTTCCTCTGTGCTGTTGCTGTCTGGTTCAGATCTACTTCCAGTTCAAAGGTCAACACAACCTGCCTAAACTCTAAACAAGCTGGTCTTGCCCTAGTGTGGCCCAAGCAAGTATTAATTTTACCTCACTAACTACTAACGCAAATTCAGCTTCAATCGTACATAGGCTCACAGAGCTGCCTCAATTCATCTCATGCATTCTGTTTACTGTATGTGGCCCTCACTAGGCCATATTGACTTTTATCATATGCATTTCAGTGAGTCACCCTGCTTTTTAATCTTTTTTTATTTATGGCTGCCCTCTTGGTATGCAGGCATGCATCACGGGGCCAGTACAAACCTTTATCTGGAAATCTGTTCATAAACAGGGCTATACATAGGACACAATGTCACACATTTAGGCTGGAAGAAAGGAGATTTCATCTAAGGCAAAGAAAAGGTTTTTGTAGAGTAAGAGCAATAAGGATATGGAATTCTCTGCCTGAAGAGGTGGTTTTGTCAGAGTCACAACAGAGGTTTAAACTGCAACTGGATAAATACTTACAAAAACATAACATACAGGGATATAATTTCCAATTAGTGGGGTAATAGCTGCTTGATCCAAGGAGACATCTGACTGCTATTTTGGGGTCAAGAATGATTTTTTATCTAGTTTGTGGCAAAATTGGAAGCGCTTCAGACTAGGTTTTTTGCCTTCTTTTGGATCAACAGCAACAACATATGTGAGGAAGGCTGAACTTGATGGACACAAGTCTCTTTTCAGCTATGTAACTATCTCTGTACACAATACAACTTAAAAATTAATTCTCCTCTCTAAAGGGGAATATCTTCTAAATGTCTAAAAAAAAATAAAAAAATTTACGAAACAACCTCAAACTCATTAACTTATAAAATATATATCATATACATTCATGCATTTCAGTTAGTCAATTGACATTTTAATATGTTCTTTATCTACCCTCTTGGTATTCCAGCACTCATTGGGCTTACATTGTTGAATTATGTGGCTAGGTGTTGCAACTGACTGCCTAAATTTATGTCAGGCCCAAACTTGGGCCTATACATTTGGTTGAGGAAATATAAACTTGTATATACATTCTTTGTACACAATTGTAAAAAATCCTTATCCTCTTTAAAGGGGAATATCTTATAAATATCTAAAAATCTTCTTACTAAAACAACCTCATAAAATGTTTCTTTATGATTGCCCTCTTGGTATTCCAGCACTTATTGGGCATACATTGTTTAGTAAATATGTGGCTAGGTGTTGCTACTGACTGTCTAAAATTATGTCAGACCAAAACTTGGGCCTATACATCTGGTTAGCATGCCTGTTAATAATCTGTATTATTTTACTGTCCGTGACTACTAACGTTCTTCCCATACAGCCCTCTCTCAGAACACTCCCAAAAACCTGGGCCTCTCACGTAGCAGTTAACATACCCTGGCCTCTTTGATATGTCACTAATTTAACTGTATTAGTATTATCCTCACCTCCTATTTCAGGCTTTTACTGAATTTGCTTCATGCTAGTATGATAGGCAGGTGATTTAGATGTGATTGTTGTTTAAATTCTCAGGCTGTTCTTTTGCATACGTAATTCAGTCAGCTATTCTATTCTTGCTAGGCTTCATGTCACATTGAGTTACATGCATATCCTTATGTAAAGTCGCTCCATATCTACTCCTTCCCGGTCGTTGCATATCTGGGGCCGATTGTCAGTTATGGTCAACTGTGTCTTTATTATGCTGTTCAATTTCCATCAGTTAGGTCGACAACTGTTGTCACTAGAGTAATTTGGTGTTCTAAGCACAGGAAAATACTTATTTTATCTACTTTTCTGGCACAGACTGTTGATAAACAATTGTTCAATGTTAGTAATTGTGAACACAAGTTATCATGGATAACTCTCAGGTTATGGTTAATTTAATCACTGTACGAGTATTTCTTTGCCCTTTATTAGATATTCACGTATTACAATTAACTTTCATTTATCATACAGGTATACATCTATTTAATCATGTCACTCGTGAATTATTTCGTATTTCACAATTTCTATCACCACGCAAGTGATTTGCTTTTTTTACGATAATACCTCCCTACGTACAACAACCACTTACTCTACAAAATGCTATAATTATCTTGGTCTGGCTGTAAGGGTACCCCAGGTGGCCATAGGTAGTTTTCGGCCTCTTGTGCCATTACATCGCTGTCCTGTGAGGCCAACTCAGCAAACGTATTTCACCCCTTGTGCCAAATCATAGTTACTGCCTCGCTACTCTGCCCTCTTGGCAAAGCAGTTAGGGCCAATTTATCATATATCTCTTTAGCTCTCACTGAGCCAACAACCCGCCACAATGCTCAGTGGCAAACCTACCCCACAGGTCAAATCATAGGTAGAGCATCTCATCGCCACTTGGCAACTAGTTAGGTTCCCAAATCACCAATTTAGCTTAATCATTTTGCTACTTGGCTTAATAAGTGTCAGCCATTACCTGGGTGTTATACAGCATCTCCCATTAAAAAACTGTTTCTCTTTCAGGTATGGTTATAATGTTGATAAATATTTAAGTATTGATTATGTAAGGTCAACACGTAATAAGTTGTAAACTATTAAACTTTTGCCCTCTTTTTACAGGCCTACTCCAACGTCGGCTCCCGCACACCACAACTGACTTATGCCACTACTACTATGACTTGGCTTATTGTCCCCGACCACAAATAGAAGGCTGAGCCTGTGGGTGAAGCCTGGAATTGTGCAGGGGTTAGTTTGCCTATAAATATACAGGCTTCCCCTTCCTCTGTCCTGTTGCTGCCTGGTTCAGCCCAGCCACCTCTCCCTTTATCAAAAAACATTCAATTTGGTTGGCCCTCTTTTTACAGGCCTACCCAAACGTCGGTTCCCGCACACCCCAACCGACTTATGCCACTACTACTATAACTCGGCTTATTGTCCCTGACCATAAGTGTGTGTGTATATATATATATATATATATATATATATATATATATGTTGTGATCCTTGTCTGCAGTTAGCATGGTCCTTTTGGGTACAAACATGCACAGTCTTTAAAAGTAACTTAATTCCAGGCACTTTATTGTTAAGCTCCACCACAGAGACAGCAGCAAATGAAAAAAACAATGTAACACAAATCCCTATAAACAAAAACCTAGCTCGTCTGAGCATTTACTAACTTCAGACTCCCTATCTCTCAGGGGTTAAACTATAACAAAACAATATTGGTTTCACCAACCTAGTGTCTTTTTCAGCTCTCAGCACTCCAGTGTTTAGTCAGCCTGCTGCTTCCAGCCCTTCAAGAGAGAAACAAACATTCCCCCCTACCTGCCTAGCAGGGAGGGTTTTATTCCCACTGCTGCAGCTGATTACCTGCAGCTGAGCAGTGGGTTGGAGACAGTCCAAACCCTGGTCTGGACCTAGTCTTCCAAGAAAAAACAAACAGCGGAGTGGAGCACTGGCCCATCCTTCTCTCCAAATGCTCCACCCCAGGGGCCCATAACTAAATATGCATTTACGTTATATACATACACACACTCCCCCTGGGGTTACAGATCATATACCTCTCTGAACAATGCAGATGAAATATAAACTCCCTCACAGACCACCCCATTCATATATATACACTGTTAAAAAAAATAAAGGGAACACTTAAACAACACAATGTAACTCCAAGTCAATCACATTTCTGTGAAATCAAACTGTCCACTTAGGAAGCAACACTGAATGATAATCAATTTCACATGCTGTTGTGCAAATGGGATAGACAACAGGTGGAAATTACAGGCAATTAGCAAGACACCCCCAACAAAGGAGTGGTTCTGCAGGTGGTGACCACAGACCACTTCTCAGTTCCTATGCTTCCTGGCTGATGTTTTGGTCAGTTTTGAATGCTGGTGGTGCTTTCACTCTAGTGGTAGCATGAGGCAGAGTCTACAACCCACACAAGTGGCTCTGGTAGTGCAGCTCATCCAGGATGGCACATCAATGCGAGCTGTGGCAAGAAGGTTTGCTGTGTCTGTCAACGTAATGTCCAGAGCATGGAGGTGCTACTAGGAGACAGGTCAGTACATCAGGAGACGTGGAGGAGGCCGTAGGAGGACAACAACTCAGCAGCAGGACCGCTACCTCCGCCTTTGTGCAAGGAGTAACAGGAGGAGAACTGCCAGAGCCCTGCAAAATAACCTCCAGCAGGCCACAAATGTACATGTGTTTGCTCAAACGGTCAGAAACAGACTCCATGAGGGCGGTATGAGTGCCCAACGTCCAAAGGTGGGGGTTGTGCTTACAGCCCAACACCGTGCAGGACGTTTGGCATTTACCAGAGAACACCAAGATTGGCAAATTCGCCACTGGCGCCCTGTGCTCTTCACAGATGAAAGCAAGTTCATACTGAGCACATGTGACAGACGTGAGAGTCTGGAGATGCCGTGGAGAACATTCTGCTGCCTGCAACATCCTTCAGCATGACTGGTTTGGCAGTGGGTAAGTAATGGTGTGGGATGCCATTTCTTTGGGGGGCCGCACAGCCCTCCATGTGCTCGCCAGAGGTAGCCTGACTGCCATTAGGTACCAAGATGAGATCCTCAGACCCCTTGTGAGACCATGTGCAAGACAATGCTGGACCTCATGTGGCTGGAGTATGTGAGCAGTTCCTGCAAGACGAAAGCATTGATGCTATGGACTTGCCTGCCCGTTCCCCAGACCTAAATCCAATTGAGCACATCTTGGACATCATGTCTCGCTCCATCCACCAACATCACGTTGCACCACAGACTGTCCAGGAGTATTTCAGGCTTTTACTGAATTTGCTTCATGCTAGTATGATAGGCAGGTGATTTAGATGTGATTGTTGTTTAAATTCTCAGGCTGTTCTTTTGCATACGTAATTCAGTCAGCTATTCTATTCTTGCTAGGCTTCATGTCACATTGAGTTACATGCATATCCTTATGTAAAGTCGCTCCATATCTACTCCTTCCCGGTCGTTGCATATCTGGGGCCGATTGTCAGTTATGGTCAACTGTGTCTTTATTATGCTGTTCAATTTCCATCAGTTAGGTCGACAACTGTTGTCACTAGAGTAATTTGGTGTTCTAAGCACAGGAAAATACTTATTTTATCTACTTTTCTGGCACAGACTGTTGATAAACAATTGTTCAATGTTAGTAATTGTGAACACAAGTTATCATGGATAACTCTCAGGTTATGGTTAATTTAATCACTGTACGAGTATTTCTTTGCCCTTTATTAGATATTCACGTATTACAATTAACTTTCATTTATCATACAGGTATACATCTATTTAATCATGTCACTCGTGAATTATTTCGTATTTCACAATTTCTATCACCACGCAAGTGATTTGCTTTTTTTACGATAATACCTCCCTACGTACAACAACCACTTACTCTACAAAATGCTATAATTATCTTGGTCTGGCTGTAAGGGTACCCCAGGTGGCCATAGGTAGTTTTCGGCCTCTTGTGCCATTACATCGCTGTCCTGTGAGGCCAACTCAGCAAACGTATTTCACCCCTTGTGCCAAATCATAGTTACTGCCTCGCTACTCTGCCCTCTTGGCAAAGCAGTTAGGGCCAATTTATCATATATCTCTTTAGCTCTCACTGAGCCAACAACCCGCCACAATGCTCAGTGGCAAACCTACCCCACAGGTCAAATCATAGGTAGAGCATCTCATCGCCACTTGGCAACTAGTTAGGTTCCCAAATCACCAATTTAGCTTAATCATTTTGCTACTTGGCTTAATAAGTGTCAGCCATTACCTGGGTGTTATACAGCATCTCCCATTAAAAAACTGTTTCTCTTTCAGGTATGGTTATAATGTTGATAAATATTTAAGTATTGATTATGTAAGGTCAACACGTAATAAGTTGTAAACTATTAAACTTTTGCCCTCTTTTTACAGGCCTACTCCAACGTCGGCTCCCGCACACCACAACTGACTTATGCCACTACTACTATGACTTGGCTTATTGTCCCCGACCACAAATAGAAGGCTGAGCCTGTGGGTGAAGCCTGGAATTGTGCAGGGGTTAGTTTGCCTATAAATATACAGGCTTCCCCTTCCTCTGTCCTGTTGCTGCCTGGTTCAGCCCAGCCACCTCTCCCTTTATCAAAAAACATTCAATTTGGTTGGCCCTCTTTTTACAGGCCTACCCAAACGTCGGTTCCCGCACACCCCAACCGACTTATGCCACTACTACTATAACTCGGCTTATTGTCCCTGACCATAAGTGTGTGTGTATATATATATATATATATATATATATATATATATATGTTGTGATCCTTGTCTGCAGTTAGCATGGTCCTTTTGGGTACAAACATGCACAGTCTTTAAAAGTAACTTAATTCCAGGCACTTTATTGTTAAGCTCCACCACAGAGACAGCAGCAAATGAAAAAAACAATGTAACACAAATCCCTATAAACAAAAACCTAGCTCGTCTGAGCATTTACTAACTTCAGACTCCCTATCTCTCAGGGGTTAAACTATAACAAAACAATATTGGTTTCACCAACCTAGTGTCTTTTTCAGCTCTCAGCACTCCAGTGTTTAGTCAGCCTGCTGCTTCCAGCCCTTCAAGAGAGAAACAAACATTCCCCCCTACCTGCCTAGCAGGGAGGGTTTTATTCCCACTGCTGCAGCTGATTACCTGCAGCTGAGCAGTGGGTTGGAGACAGTCCAAACCCTGGTCTGGACCTAGTCTTCCAAGAAAAAACAAACAGCGGAGTGGAGCACTGGCCCATCCTTCTCTCCAAATGCTCCACCCCAGGGGCCCATAACTAAATATGCATTTACGTTATATACATACACACACTCCCCCTGGGGTTACAGATCATATACCTCTCTGAACAATGCAGATGAAATATAAACTCCCTCACAGACCACCCCATTCATATATATACACTGTTAAAAAAAATAAAGGGAACACTTAAACAACACAATGTAACTCCAAGTCAATCACATTTCTGTGAAATCAAACTGTCCACTTAGGAAGCAACACTGAATGATAATCAATTTCACATGCTGTTGTGCAAATGGGATAGACAACAGGTGGAAATTACAGGCAATTAGCAAGACACCCCCAACAAAGGAGTGGTTCTGCAGGTGGTGACCACAGACCACTTCTCAGTTCCTATGCTTCCTGGCTGATGTTTTGGTCAGTTTTGAATGCTGGTGGTGCTTTCACTCTAGTGGTAGCATGAGGCAGAGTCTACAACCCACACAAGTGGCTCTGGTAGTGCAGCTCATCCAGGATGGCACATCAATGCGAGCTGTGGCAAGAAGGTTTGCTGTGTCTGTCAACGTAATGTCCAGAGCATGGAGGTGCTACTAGGAGACAGGTCAGTACATCAGGAGACGTGGAGGAGGCCGTAGGAGGACAACAACTCAGCAGCAGGACCGCTACCTCCGCCTTTGTGCAAGGAGTAACAGGAGGAGAACTGCCAGAGCCCTGCAAAATAACCTCCAGCAGGCCACAAATGTACATGTGTTTGCTCAAACGGTCAGAAACAGACTCCATGAGGGCGGTATGAGTGCCCAACGTCCAAAGGTGGGGGTTGTGCTTACAGCCCAACACCGTGCAGGACGTTTGGCATTTACCAGAGAACACCAAGATTGGCAAATTCGCCACTGGCGCCCTGTGCTCTTCACAGATGAAAGCAAGTTCATACTGAGCACATGTGACAGACGTGAGAGTCTGGAGATGCCGTGGAGAACATTCTGCTGCCTGCAACATCCTTCAGCATGACTGGTTTGGCAGTGGGTAAGTAATGGTGTGGGATGCCATTTCTTTGGGGGGCCGCACAGCCCTCCATGTGCTCGCCAGAGGTAGCCTGACTGCCATTAGGTACCAAGATGAGATCCTCAGACCCCTTGTGAGACCATGTGCAAGACAATGCTGGACCTCATGTGGCTGGAGTATGTGAGCAGTTCCTGCAAGACGAAAGCATTGATGCTATGGACTTGCCTGCCCGTTCCCCAGACCTAAATCCAATTGAGCACATCTTGGACATCATGTCTCGCTCCATCCACCAACATCACGTTGCACCACAGACTGTCCAGGAGTTGGCAGATGCTTTAGTCCAGGTCTGGGAGGAGATCCCTCAGGAGACCATCCGCCACCTCATCAGGAGCATGCACAGGCGTTGTAGGGAGGTCATACAGGCACGTGGAGGCCACACACACTACTGAGCCTCATTTTGACTTGTTTTAAGGACATTACATCAAAGTTGGATCAGCCTGTAGTGTGTTTTTCCACTTTAATTTTGAGTGTGACTCCAAATCCAGACCTCAATGGTTTGAAAAATTTGATTTCCATTTTAAAATTTTTGTGTGATTGTGTTGCCTGCACATTCAACTATGTAAAGAACAAAGTATTTCAGAAGAATATTTAATTCATTCAGATCTAGGATGTGTTATTTTTGTGTTCCCTTTATTTTTTTGAGCAGTGTGTATATATATATATATATATATATATATAATGTCATTCTAAATGTATTTTGAATTTAATATATATGTATATTAATATCAAAGTATAGTTTGAACAAATTAGAAATAGTATAAAAGTTTATTTGTATTTGTATTATTTTTTATATTATTTATATTCCGGCCATGTGATCGCAAGGACCCCACGATCACATGGGGGTGGGGCAGGATCGGGGATAGGAGGTCTGCCTGGAAGCAGACCGCATTATCGCGACGGCCGTTGGGGGAATGACGGAGACCTGGTAAGTACAAAGGACGACGGGGATGTTCTATGTAGCCTGCCGGCATTTAGGACCACCGCAAAAAGGACAACATAGAACGCTCGCCGTCTTTAAGGGGTTAATATATCTTTGTAAAATCCTCAGATGAAGAATCTTATTATTGTAACCACAGCCAGTAACATAGATTTTAGAAGGGCTAACAATACAGATATCTTAGCCATAATATTATATAGTTAATAAGAGTTCCTCTATTTAAAATATATAAATAATTGAGAATACAATATAAAATAGGGATTGTCTTGAAAGCAATAAAGTTTTGTATATTTAAATATTTTATTAAATATAAATATAAATATAAACATCTAAAACCTTAATAATCCATTACAATAATTTATAGCGGAGTTTATAAGATTAAAGTATATGCTTGCAATATCAGTAACATAGAATAACATTCAAACAGTGGTTGGTGTTAATTTTCACATACTCATTGTGAATACACTATTGACTAGAGTCAGTACATAGCATATAAATGTGTAGTGAATGAACTGGTATTGATCTAATCAAGCCTGCTTTTGTTCAACATATGATCAAGTTGCTTTGGCATTTAAGTTCATACAATGTTTCCTCTTTTGTCCCATTGTTTTTAGCTCCCTGGAATTAAACCAAAACATCTTCCTGGTACGAGAATAAACTAGACTTGTGAGAACTAGGGCAATCTTTAATGTTAAGGGGATATGTGAATGGCAAATAAGTGATTGTTTATCCACTTAATTATATATTAAAACAATAACATTCTAGTGTCACAGATGTGATCTTCCTTAAAGCAGCACTCCCACCTTGATAACACTTAAAGGGACACTATAGTCACAAACAAGTTTAGCTTAATGAAGCAGTTTTGGTGTATGAATCTACCCCCTGCAGCCTCACTGCTCAATTCTCTACCATTTAGGAGTTAAATACCGTATATACTCGAGTATAAGCCGACCCGAATATAAGCCGAGGCCCCTAATTTTACCCCAAAAAACTGGGAAAACTTATTGACTCGAGTATAAGACTAGGGTGGGAAATGCAGCAGCTACTGGTAAATTTCTAAATAAAATTAGATCCTAAAAAAATTATATTAATTGAATATTTATTTACAGTGTGTGTATATGATGAATGCAGTGTGTGTGTATGCGTGCGCAGTGTGTATAAATGCAGTGTGTATATGAGTGCGCAGTGTGTGTGTATGAGTGCAGTGTGTGTGTATGAGTGCAGTGTATGTGTGTATGAATGCAGTATGTGTGTATGAGTGCAGTGTGTGTATGAATGCAGTGTGTGTGTATGAATGCAGTGTGTGTGTGTATGAATGCAGTGTATGTGTGTATGAATGCAGTGTATGTGTGTATGAGTGCAGTATGTGTATGAGTGCAGTATGTGTATGAGTGCAGTATGTGTATGAGTGCAGTATGTGTATGAGTGCAGTATGTGTATGAGTGCAGTATGTGTATGAGTGCAGTATGTGTATGAGTGCAGTATGTGTATGAGTGCAGTGTGTGTGTATGAATGCAGTGTGTGTGTATGAATGCAGTGTGTGTGTGTGATGCAGTGTGTGTTTGTGTTGCAGAGCCTTGGTGGGGGGTGGGCATTTTTATAAAAAAAAAAAATATTATTATTTACATTTTTTTTTGTTATATTATTATTTTTTTAATAATTTTTTTATTATTATTTTTTTTATTATTATTTATGTATTATTATTTTATTTAGTTTTTAGTTCATTTTTTTGTTATATTATTATTTTGTTTATTATTATTATTTTTTTATTATTTTTATTTATATATTATTATTTTATCTATTTTTTGTCCCCCCTCCCTGCTTGATACATGGCAGGGAGGGGGGCTCTCCTTCCCTGGTGGTCCAGTGGCATTGGCAGTTCAGTGGGGGGAGGAGGGGGGCTGGCAGAGCTGTTACTTACCTCTCCTGCAGCTCCTGTCAGCTCCTGTCAGCTCTCTCCTCCTCCGCGCCGGTCCGTGCAGCTCCTCTCTCAGCTCACACTGTAAGTCTCGCGAGAGCCGCACTATGACCCCGCGGCTCTCGCGAGACTTACACTGGGAGCTGACCGAGGTGCTGACCGGACCGGCGCTGAGGAGGAGAGAGCTGACAGGAGCTGCAGGAGAGGTAAGTAACAGCTCTGCCAGCCCCCAGTCTGTATTATGGCAATGTAAATTGCCATAATACAGACTGACTCGAGTATAAGCCGAGTGGGGGTTTTTCAGCACAAAAAATGTGCTGAAAAACTCGGCTTATACTCGAGTATATACGGTAACTTTGTTTATGCAGCCCTAGTCATACCTCACTGCATGTGACTTACACAGCCTTCCTTATATTTCCTTTTTTTGCAAATTCTGTTTAATTTAGAATGTATCTCCTGTTCTGTTAATAGCTTTCTAGATCCTGCAGGAGCCTTCTTTATGTATCGAACGTTCGATTTACAGAGCAGGAAATAACTTTTAAAGCAAGCTACATCTGATTGAAAATGAAACAATTTTGTTTTCATGCAGGCTGTGTCAGTCACAGACAGGGGAGGTACGTGGCTGCATAAACAGAAAAAGAAAAAGTGATTAACTCTTAAATGAGGCATGATTTATACACAAATACTGCTTCAGTAAGCTAAAGTTGTTTTGGTGCCTGTAATGTCCCTTTAATTTAATTTGTTATGGGGTATGTTGTCTGGGCACTATCTTACCTGTCCACATCTGTCCCAGTAACAACTGCTGATACGGAGGTGGGAGTGTCCCTCTAAAGCCAGAAAAAAATTTGAGAATAAATAACTAGAGAATGAGCTGTAGTGTGCTGCTCAGCTGTGAACTCACCGTTTAGTTACCTATTAAATATTTTTCATAAACTTCTACACACATATAAATTGCATCTGTGTATACTGTGATTTTTTTTGCTGTTAGCTTATACTTTGCACTTTTATACTATTAATGCTAGTTAATAAATTACGTGGGGGAAAAAAATATACTCGTTTATTAAAAAGTGATTTTAAAGCTAATGTACAATGTTCATCATCCCTCTAGTGCTACAAGTATAATAATTATTGATAATTTATTAGTGGGCTAAAATGATGGCATCTGAATTAACAGAACGTTTTATGGCATAGGGAACCTCCATCCCATCCCATTCCTAGAATAGGAAATGGACTAAAAACTGTAGGGGCAGCTGCAGTTATTTTAATCTATTACATAGTTACATAGTTACATAGCTGAAAAGAGACTTGCGTCCATCAAGTTCAGCCTACCTCACATTTGTTTTTTGCTGTTGATCCAAAAGAAGGCAAAAAAAACCAGTTTGAAGCACAATTTTGCAACAAGCTAGGAAAAAAATTCCTTCTTGACCCCAGAATGGCAGTCAGATTTATCCTTGGATCAAGCAGTTATTACCCTACATTGAAAGATTATATCCTTGAATATTGTGTTCTTGCAAGTATGCATCTAGTAGCCGTTTGAACATCTGTATGGACTCTGATAAAACCACTTCCTCAGGCAGAGAATTCCACATCCTGATTGTTCTTACAGTAAAAAAACCTCTCCTTTGCCTTAGACGAAATCTTCTTTCTTCCAGTCTAAACTCATGTCCTCGTGTCCTATGTTATCTATATTAACCTATACCACACAAAACGTATTAGTTACATAGCTGAAAAGAGACTTGCGTCCATCAAGTTCAGCCTTCCTCACAAATGTTGTTGCTGTTGATCCAAAAGAAGGCAAAAAACCTGGTCTGAAGCGCTTCCAATTTTGCCACAAACTAGGAAAAAATTCCTTCTTGACCCCAAAATAGCAGTCAGATGTCTCCTTGGATCAAGCAGCTATTACACCACTAATTAGAAATTGTATCCCTGTATGTTATGTTTTTGTAAGTATTTATCCAATTTCAGTTTAAACATCTGTATGGACTCTGACAAAACCACCTCTTCAGGCAGAGAATTCCATATCCTTGTTGTTCTTACTGTAAAAAAAACTTTTTCTTTGCCTTAGATAAAATCTCAATTCTTCCAGTGTGACCTTGTGTCCTATGTATAAACCTGTTTATGAATAGATTTCCATATAAAGGTTTATACTGGCCACGAATATATTTGTATAAAGTTATCATATCCCCTCTCAGGCGCCATTTTTCCAAACTAAACAGATTTAATTTTTTTAACCTTTCTTCATAACTAAAATGCTCCATTCCTTTTATCAATTTTTTAGCTTGTCTCTGGACCCTCTCCAGTGCCATGATATCCTTCTTTAGAACAGGCGCCCAAAATTGCACAGCATATTCAAGGTGTGGTCTTACCAACGATTTATAAAGAGGCAAAATTATATTTTCATCCCGAGAATTTATGCCCCTATTTATACATGACAAAACCTTACTGGCCTTAGCAACTGCAGATTGACATTGCATATTGCTGCCTAATTTGTTGTCTATAACAATTCCCAAATCCTTCTCGTGTGTGGTTATCCCTAATTCACTACCATTTAGTGTGTAAGTTGCTTGTGCATTCTTAACCCCGAAGTGCATAACTTTGCATTTCTCTATGTTAAATTTCATCTGCCATTTTAGTGCCCAGTCCCCCAATCTATCCAAATCTCTCTGCAGCAAAGCAATATCCTGCTCACATTTTATTACTTTACAAAGTTTTGTGTCATCTGCAAACACTGATACATGGCTTTCAATGCCTATTTCAAGATCATTTATAAATATGTTAAATAGAAGTGGTCCCAAAACAGAACCCTGAGGGACACCACTTACCACTTTTGTCCAGCCTGAAAATGTACCATTAATTACAACTTGTTGTACTCTATCCTTAAGCCAATGTTCTACCCAAGAACAAGAATATTCATCTAGACCAATTTCTTTTAGTTTGAAGACTAACCTATTGTGAGGAACCATATCAAATGCCTTGGCAAAATCCAAGTAGATCACATCCACTGCAACACCCTGATCTATACTTCTACTTACTTCTTTGTAGAATGCAATTAGGTTAGTTTGACATGACCGATGTTTCATAAAACCATGCTGATTATTGCTAATAACAAAGTTCTTCCCAATGAATTCCTGAATATTATCCCTTAATAGCCCTTCAAATATTTTCCCAGTTACAGAAGTTAAGCTCACAGGTCTATAATTTCCAGGCAAGGATTTTGAACCCTTTTTAAATATAGGAACAACATCTGCCTTCCTCCAATCCTCCGGTACAACACCTGAAACAAAAGAATCTTGAAAAATTAAATACAGAGGTTCACTTATTTCCCCACTTAGCTCCTTAAGTACTCGTGGGTGAATTGTAAGGATTACTGTTTGATCCAGCACGTAGAACTGTACAGCACGGATGACAAATAAGTAACGTATTACCGGTCCTTAGAATGGCCGGATTTAACGTACAAAGAATAGTCAAAAATACTAGCCGAGGTCAGGGAACACAGAAAGGGACACAGTGATGAGGAAAGCCAGGAGTCAGGATACCAGAATATAGAGAAGTCAATAAACAAAGCCAAAGTCAAAAAACAGGTAGAAAACTAAAAACAGGAACGCTTTCTCGGACAACCACAAGGGAAACCACGACAGGGCACTGAGCAGGCTGAGAACTGGGCCTAAATACCCCTCCTTTCTTTCTGATAGGCTGTAACCGGCCTTTGACCCCAAAGTCAGTTACCAGGTTTCATTTGCATAATTGCTGCTCAGCATTAACCCTTCTGTGGATTAGGTTGCTGCTCGGCACAACTTTTCCTGTGTGGACAGTAAATGTCATTAACCACTTTTCTATAAGCGGATGAATACATGAGACCAGGTTTCATTTGCACAATTACTGCTCAGCATTAAACCTTCTGTGGATTAGGTTGCTGCTCGGCACAACTTTTCCTGTGTGGACAGTAAATGTCATTAACCAAATTTCTATAAGCAGATGAATACGTGACATGAATACCATCAGGACCCGGAGCTTTATTTACATTAATATAAAGTCATACATCAAATTGATTTGTAATAAAGCAAGTGATTGCCCACGCAGGGGCTTAAGCATTGGTTTAACACTGCATATACATTTGGTTGCCTGCGTAGAGGCGGATTTGTCCTAGCCTGTGTTTTTTGTTCACAGTTGGTTGCTTTGTGTTTTATACTCTTATGTACTGTGTTGCCTTTTTAGTTCGGTTATAGTGTTAAGTAAGTGTTTTAAGTTAACTGGTGTGTGCCAGGGCTGCGTGTTTGCTAGTTGGTAAATGCAAATTGTCGCCTGTGCAGAGGTAAATTAATCAGCTTGCTAATTGGAGTCAGACATTAAGCAATAATCTAAGATACAAAAACTTTTTCAACTATCTGGTTAGCGCTCTAAACGTACGGTACATCTGTGCTTAAAACTTGGCTTTTAACTATTAAACATTAGGATGCACGTAGCTGATAGCCTTATTTGTGGTTAATATATTATGGCATATGTTTCTTGTCATTAATTAAGCGTTGATAGTTAGCGCTGTGTTAAGTAGCTATTAGCATTGTGACATTGCCCTATCAACTGCACATCAGGCATGCTGCGAAATATATGTACCAATATTAAAGAGTGTATCCTATGTACAGCTGCTTATGCACATGGAAACATTAGCGTGGTTAGCTCTAACAACATGAATTTACACTTTTAACAGTAAGAGCATTTGTGTCTATGTTAAGGCGCTTTTGTGTGTCCCCTATATGTACTCGCTATCCAGGCCCATGGGCGTAATAAGAAACATTTTATTTTCTGCATGGGCCGTACATGCTTGTCCTATCTGGTTAGCGCTCTAAACGTACGGTACATCTGTGCTTAAAACTTGGTTTTTAACTATGAAACCTTAGGATGCACGTAGCTGATAGCCTTATTTGTGGTTAATATATTATGGCATATGTTTCTTGTCATTAATTAAGCGTTTATAGTTAGCGCGGTGTTAAGTAGCTATTAGCATTGCGACATTGCCCTATCATCTGCACATCAGGCATGCTGCGAAATATATGTACCAATGTTAAAGAGTGTATCCTATGTACAGCTGCTTATGCACTTGGAAACATTAGCGTGGTTAGCTCTAATAACATGAATTTACACTTTTAACAGTAAGAGCATTTGTGTCTATGTTAAGGCGCAGTAATATATAGTGCGGTAATCAAGCAATTAGGTAAGTAGTATTAAATAACCCTGACAGTATATACGCTGCTACATTGATTTAAGAGAGTAGTTTTTCATTACTCTGACGGAGGTTTCTTGCTCTCTTGCAGGTATGATTGGTCCTTAGGGGAACAATAGTGCCCAAGGTTAAGTCTTATTGGTGCGGTATCGCCTACAGCACATTAGGTTTCAGGCTGAGATATGGTTACGAGTACAGCCATCTTATAGCGTATCAGTCTGGTGTAATTTCAAAATGCGCAGTACAGGAATAGGAGCAGGTAGAGAGTAAACATTATTAACAATATGTCGCCTTGTGTAGAAAGCTGAGGGAGGCCTCACATGTCTTTGCTGCAGTGCAGTCCTCAGGTTGCCGAGCCTTTGTCCGTCCTCCCCACTCTGGCACCAGTTCACAGGCCGGGTCCTCCGCGGCACCGTGGGCACTCAGGGGCAGTGATTGCCTGCCAGATCCCACCACAAAGTCTGCGGCACCCCCCCAGCGTCACGTTGTTCCCCCTGGAGCGAGCATTCCCACGTCTCTCCCAGTGCCGGCCTCACACTTAAGGCTGGTACTCCGCCCCCACGGCCACCGGTCCGCCGGTAGGGCGGTGCACTCCCGCCTCACAGGGCTCGCAGCAGTGGGGACGTGATTCTCTGGGGACCCCCATACCCAGAGACTGGGGTACTCACTGCTCTAGCCAGCTTGTGGGCCGCGCGGAGTGTCCGTCTGGTGTCCAGCATCACCTGGGCCTGCACAGGCCGTCCATGTCAGTCCCCTGTGCTTTATTCCACTGTGGTCCTCAGGGTGTAATGGGTTGTGCTGAAATGTCTCTATATAGGTGCAGGTGTTATTCCTCGCATCTGTTTCAGAGATATCCAGCCAATGCTCACTGCTAGTTCATGGTCTGTGTGCCTCCCTGCAATATTTCCTTTTCCTCTGCTTCAGGGTCAACTCCTGCTGGCTTGCTGTTCCTCATACAGCTGTTTGCCAGTATAGGCGGCCAGCGTGCGCCCCACGTGGGAGCTCCCCCTGTGGCGCCAGTCGCCGCCATGCGCCAGTCCTTCCACCGGCCAAGAGGGGGGGGGCAGGGCCGGGCCGGGGGCAAGTCCACATCTGGCGGTCCTGTCCCCCATTCATATGTCTCGGGGCTGTGCCTTTCTGTGGCGTAGAGCTGCATGTGCTGGCTGCGGGCGTTTGGGTGTCTTGTAGGCCTGGCGTGGCCTCTCTCGCTCACCCCGCCCGCGGCATGTTGTTTGTCGGGATCTGAAGATAGCTGGGGTTGTTCCCCTTCCCCAGCTGCCACGGCACCCGGTGTTTGGGTGTTCCGGATCGGCTTTTTGGGCTCTTTTGCTCTGATTAGTGCCGGAGCCCATGTAAATGGCGTCTGGTCGGCCCGGCGGCCCGGCCCCGCCCCCTCACAAGTTATTTGCAAGTTTTTTGCAGCAATCATTTGCATATCTCTTGCCATAGGATCCTCATTAATATATATTGAAGAAAAATAGTTATTTAAAATGTCTGCTTTTTCCTGGTCTTCATTAGCTAATAAACCCAACTCTGTTTCAAGTGTACCTACACTTTCATTTTTTGTTTTTTTAGAATTGATGTACTTGAAAAAAATTTTGGGGTTGGTTTTGCATTCTTTAGCTATCAATTTCTCATTTTCTAGTTTAGCCACTTTAATTGCCTTTTTGCAAGCGTTATTGGCTTCCTTATATCTTAAATAGGATGCCTTTGATTTGTCTGATTTAAATGCTTTAAATGCCCTTTTCTTATTTTTAATCTCTTGTTTTACTTCTCTACTAAGCCACATTGGTTTTAATTTGTTTCTTTTATATTTATTACCCAATGGTACATACTGAGAAATGTACCTTTCTGATATCTGTTTGAATAGTTTCCATTTATCCTCAGTGTTTTTATCACTAAGGAGTTTATGCCAGTCGATATGTTGTAGAGCTGCCCTAATCTTATTGAAATTGGCTTTTTTTAAATTATATGTTTTAGTATACCCCACTTGCTTTTGCTTTTTTGAGTTTATTTCAAAATTTACCATATTGTGATCACTATTTCCCAAATGCTCCCCTACTTGAATGTTGGTTAAAAGATCAACATTGTTTGTTATGACAAGATCCAGACAAGCATCCTTTCTAGTTGGTGCTTGTACCAGTTGTGGCATAAAGGTGTCATTTAACAGATTCAAAAGCCTGATGCCCCTTGCTGAAGTACTAGTCCCTCTTTCCCAATTTATGTCTGGATAATTAATGGACTCCTGCTTTTTTTTTTTTTTTTTAAACCACCACACTTTCACACATTGTTTTTGAAATATAAATGCACCTTAGTTGCTGCATCTTTGCATATAGGGAGCCCTTGGAAACCCTTCCTAATTTTTTTAAACTTCATTTTTAATATTAATCTGTTTGCGGCTGATTCCTTTCACCAACATTTTAAAAGCATGGTTTGTGTATTGTTTAAGCTTTTCATGGAAGAAAATGTGCATCTTACTGTACTGCATTGATTTGAAGATGTGGTAAGTATTGAGAACAAACTGATTCTGTTTATTTAAAATTAGTTATTTTTAGAAATTACCATATGTTACATAACAGTTAGAATTAGTAGGCTTTGAATGGCGGTATGCAACTCATTTACTGCTGATACCAATAGGACATATTCATGTTCAATCCTTATTCTGATCCCATATACTTCTACCACTAATGCCCCAACTTCTTTTATACATCTACAGTTTCTGATTACTGACCTTGATTTGTAATGCAATTGTGTTTTATTTGGGTTAAACCATTGAGAAACAACTTGGGATACAGTGGAGATTTATATGTTTTATCTTCTTTCTCTAAATACAAAGGGCTTATTTCTGCTGTGAAAAAGAAAACAATCACATACTATAACTTTTCTTGGTATATACGTTTGTATAGTTTTGTATATAACCACTGCTTTTAATATACTAACCATTTGAACCATAATTTTCATTTCTACACAATCTTACAACCTCAATGTCTTATCCTTGTTTAGAAACTGTTGCAAAATGTTGCAAATTTCCAGAGAATTCATGGATTTTCATGGAATGAAAGTACCAGCAACAGTTCACACTGAAGAGAGCCTAAACTATGCATGGAAAGAGTTTCAAACACGTGATGATGATATTTTTAATGTAACATTTCCCAAATCAGGTAAGATGTTTAGTTTGTATTTAAGGTTCGATAAGCCAACCCCTTACTGCCATTGAGATAATTAAGAATCTTATTTTTCCTGACATGGTGGCAGTACAATAGGGATGTACTCTTCCCTCGGGACAAGCATCTAAAATAAATTAACATAAAAAGTTCCTCCCCTTACCAGGTATAAGAGACCAAACCAGCCCTGGGATCTCAGTTCTCTTTCTTGTTCCATCAGGAATAGACGGCATCTGGAATGAGATGGTGAGGCACATGGGTTTCTGCCAGGGGGATCCGGTCTGATAGCGTCCCTGGTGGAGAGCTGAATGGCCAGCAAGCATCCTACAGGATTACGGAGCAGGTATGGGAAGCTTGCTTAATGCCGAGTGCAGTCACAGGCGAAGCAGGGAGGCGGTCTCTAATGGCAGCAAATCACTGCCCGTCGGAGATGCATGCGCATGGCGGTGGAACGCACGCCCAGGTGGTTATGCGTTCCACCGGGGTTCCGACCACGCTATGCGCATGCGCGGTCTGAACTCCCCAAAACGGCGCCAGATTGCAAAGCATCTGCCTATTTATGCTGTGCAGATCTTACTGTCAGCATGGATGCTCGGCAGTGAAGGTCTGCCGTGTCATCAGCCCCCTCCCCACACGGGTCAGGGGTTTTAGAGGTATGATTCTTTAGGTTTCTAATCTTTAAGACTATATATTTTTTATTGTTTCTACAAATATGGTTTATTTGCTTATGTATTGCAGATATGTCTAGTCCTGTCCAGGGCCGTCTATAATATGAATAGGACCCTGGGCAAAAAATTTTGTTGGGCCCCCTGGGCCCTGCGACCCTCCCAATCCCCCCTCCCCCCAATTACGCCCAACCCCCAATCACACTGACATACTGACACATACACACAGACAGACATATTAAAACATTCACAGATACATACTGACACACACATACACTGACTCACAAATATATACTGGCAGACATATTGACACACATTCAGACATATTGACACACACATACATACACACAGACACATACACACACAGACATGCTGACACACACAGGCATACTGACATACACACACTGACACACACAGGCATACTGACATACACACACTGACACAGTCAGACATAGTGACACACACAAAGACAGACATACTGCCACACACACACAGACATACTGACACACACACACAGACATATATTTGACACTCGCACACAGACAGATATTTGACACATGCACACTGACATACACACAGACAGACATACTGACACACAGACACACATACACTGACATAATTTTGAACACACACACAGACATGCTGACACACACAGGCATACTGACACACATACATACTGACACACTCACAGGCATGTTGACATACACACAGACAGACATACTGACACACACACACAGACATACTAACATACAGACAGACATACTGACACACATACAGACAGACATACTGACACACACACTGACAGACATACTGTCTGACACACTCACAGACATACTGACACACATTTAGCCACCCTCCAACCACCCTTACCTTTTCTGGAGAGTGGTTTCCCTGGGGTCCAGTGGCAGGCTGAGGCACTTGGGAGTTCTCCTCTGAAACTCTTCCCTGCCTTCCTACTCCTGCGCGGCTCTGATCTCCTGTAGGAGGAAGTGACGCGCGGCACTTACTTCCTCCCAGCCGGCTGCCAAACAGGAAGGGGCCCCATGCTGTTTAAGCGTCACAGCGCCCAACCGGGCCCCTGCTGACAAATGCCCACCAGGTGGCCCTTAGTGCATGGGGGCCCTCTTTAGCGTGTGGGACGATGCGGCTGCGCAATGAACTATCCTCGGGTGAATGTTCTTTTTCTTTTTCAGAATCCTCTAGCGACTCTTCTGATACTTAGGTTGGTTTTCCTCATGATGAATTGAGAAAATTTATTAAAGAGGTTAATGTTATCTTTTCTGATGAAACGGTAGACAAATCCAATGGTAAAGCACTTCCAGTCCAACAAAAAATGCTGGATTTGATTTTCAGAGAATGGAGGAACCCTGGAAGAATACTTTTATCTCCAGACATTTTAAAAGTATTGTTAAAATGGAGGAGGAAGATAAATGGGAAGAATTGCCGGTAGTTGATGTACAAGTGGCTCAATTGTCTAAAAAAACTACCATACCTACTGGGGAAGTTTCTGGTCTGAAAGACCCTATGGATAAGAGGGCTGAAACTTCCAGCAGGACGGCTTATCAGGCTGCAGGTTTTCAGGCTAAAGCAGCATTAGCTGGGGCTTCAGTGGTGAGAGCTCAGAATCTTTGGCTTAACACTTTGGAAGATGGTCTGGGTGATAACCAAGACAAAGGCCTTTCCCTCCTGTTCCAAAATTTAAGGTTGTCTAATGAGTATCTTATGGATATTATCACGGAGGTAGTTAAGCTTTCGGCTCGTGTTATGGGTTTGACTTCTGTGGCCCGAAGGGCACTGTGGCTTAAAGCCTGGACATGTAGCGTTACTTACCTTAACCGGGGGCCGGTCGCGGTCCTCTCTTCAAGCCGCGCGCGGTCCTGCGGCTGCATGAGCCGCGCGCGGCTCATCCAACTACTTCGGATGGACGGCGGGCAGTGACCGCGTGAGGCGGTCACGTGTCCCGCCTGAATCTAAGAGCGCGCCGCGAGTCTCGGGCGCGCTCTTAAAGGGACAGTGGGTGCCTAAATTGGAAAAGGCATCCCATTGGTCCCTGTCATGCCACACTCCCCATACACTTACCTTTTGGGGGCGTGGATGTGACAGGGACCAATCAAATTAGATGTTTAGGTATTTATACTCACCTTCTTCCCTTTGTTCCTTGCCCTATCGTGGTTTCTGTTTCAGTTCCCTTTAGCGCTTGTGGTGTTCAGTTGTGTTTTCTCGTATTGACTTTGGCTTCGTATTCTGACTTCGTTTTCGCTTTATCCTTATCTGTACTGTTTGCCGGCTTGCTGTTTTCCGTGTACCAGACCCCGGCTTGTCCTAGTTTACGCTGTCTCTCTGTGCCCTTGACCTCGGTTTGTTCCTGGCTCTGTCTTCTCTCATATACGTCGAGTCCGGCCATTCTAAGGTCCGGTAGACGTATCTCTCCTCTGTATTTGCCTCTGTTTAGCTGGATCCTGCGTGTAGGGGTATATTCTCGTTACATTACGATAGGGCCATGGACCCCGCAGATTTAGCTCAACAGATGGCGCCCCATGAGGCAAGATTTGTAGAGCAGGATCACCGTATGGATCAAATAGCTCAGGCTCTCCAGACGCTCCTAGCTAGAACCGTTCCAGCAACTACACCTAACCCTCCTACGCCCCTTCTCCCTGAAGTATCTACTTTGCCTAATACTTCGGCCCATTTAACACCTCCTCCTAGGTATGGAGGGGACTCTAAGACTTGCAGAGGGTTTATTAATCAGATTGAATTTCACTTTGAAATGTATCCACGTTCATTTCCCACAGAGAGGTCTAAGGTTGGGTTCTTTATGCACCAACTTACCGATAAGGCACTTGAGTGGGCAAATCCTATTTGGGAAGCTAATGGGCCTATGGTACATGATTTCAACAGTTTTCTTACGGCTTTTCGTAGAACTTTTGACACAATGAAAAGGTCAAAGAATGCCGCAAGAGCATTAATGAGAATTAAACAGGGTTCTAGGTCTGTGGCTGATTATGCTATTCAGTTTCGCACTCTTGCTTCGCAGGTAGATTGGACCAACAATGGGTTAACTACTGCCTTTATGGAAGGTTTGTCAGATACGATATTGGATGAGGTAGCAGCTAAGGAGCTTCCTATTGCCTTAGAGGACCTTATCGATTACCTCATTGATATTGATAATAGAATTCGTGACAGGCTCTATACCAAGAACAGGAATAGACGTTTTGTTACACCCATTAACCCCAGAGTTAATATACCAGAGAGTGTTAAAGTGTCTGAGGAGGAACCTATGCAATTAGGGGTTGCCAAACTCTCTGATACTGAGAAATTACATAGGAGAAGGGAGGGACTCTGCCTATACTGTGGTAGGAGAGACCATATGGTAAAGGAATGTCCTTTACTCCCGGAAAACTCTCGCACCTAAGACCTTATAGGGGACTGGCCTTGGGTGTGATATCTAAGTCTCCTAAATTGCCTCCTAACCGCTTGCTTCTCCCGGTTTCTTTATATATGGGAGAGTTTTGTATAGTTGACAACATATATGCTCTGGTTGACTCTGGGGCAGCTGAAAATTTTATAGACTCTGGCTTTATAAAGAGAAACAACATTCCCATCAGAGAGAAGGAGATACCCTTGGCCGTTGAGGCCATAGATGGTAGACCATTAAGTTCTCCAGTTGTTACTCATGAGACTGAACCACTACACATGTACACAGGGGTTTTACACTACGAAACCATTCGATTCCAGGTTATCACCTCTCCCTCTTCACAGTTAGTATTAGGGTATCCATGGTTACGTGCTCACAATCCCATTTTTGACTGGGAGACAGGGCAAATAAAATCATGGAGTAAGGCCTGCCACGAGTCTTGTACGTTGGAAGTCACACCTTTGAATTCTATTGAGGTACCTACCAGTCCTCCTTTGTCTATGGTTATACCCCCTCAGTATTTATCTCTAAAGACTGTTTTCGATAAAAGGGAGGCTGAGAAATTACCGCCTCACAGACCCTATGATTGCGCTATTGACTTGTTGCCTGGCACTATACCTCCAAAGGGCAGGGTGTACCCCTTATCGGTTCAAGAAAACCGTGTCATGGAGGAGTACATCAAGGAATCATTAGAAAAAGGGTTTATTAGGAGATCCTCTTCTCCAGCTGGAGCAGGGTTCTTCTTTGTATCGAAGAAAGAAGGTGATTTAAGACCGTGTATAGATTATAGAGGTCTAAACAAAATCACTATCAAAAATGCATACCCTATACCTTTGATTACAGAATTATTTGACAGGCTGAAACATGCCACTGTGTTCACTAAATTAGACCTTAGGAATGCATACAATTTGATACGTATAAAGGAAAATCACGAATGGAAGACTGCATTCAACACTAGATCCGGTCATTACGAATACACTGTTATGCCATTTGGGCTTTGCAATGCCCCAGCAGTATTCCAAGAATTTATTAATGATGTATTGAGAGATTTTATTCACACATTTGTTATCGTATACTTGGACGACATTTTAATATATTCTGCAGATATACACACTCATCACAGACATGTTACGACAGTTTTGAAGACCCTTCTTGCTAATGGTCTTTATTGCAAGCTAGAAAAATGTCTGTTTGACCAAACCGAAGTCCAGTTCTTGGGGTATTTGATTTCCGCTAAAGGTTTTCGTATGGATCCCCAGAAGCTAGCTGCTGTAATAGAATGGCCTCTACCGCAAGGTCTGAAAGCTATTCAGCGTTTTCTTGGGTTCTCCAATTATTATAGACGTTTTATCAAAGGTTTCTCGTCCATTGTAGCACCTATTACCCGTATGACTAAAAAGGATGGCAATACTCGTGTTTGGTCTACCGAGGCACTTCAGGCTTTTGAATTTCTTAAAACTACGTTCGCCTCTGCACCTATTTTACAGCATCCTGTCCCCTCACTGCCCTATATTCTTGAAGTTGATGCTTCGGATATTGGGGTAGGTGCTGTCTTATCCCAAAGAGAGTCGCCTGAGAAGCCATTGCATCCATGCGGCTTCTTTTCTAAACAAATGTCCAAAGCAGAGAAAAATTATGATGTGGGTAATCGTGAACTCCTTGCTATTATTTTAGCACTTAAAGAGTGGAGACATTTGTTAGAGGGAACTAAGGATCCTATCCTCATTTTTACGGATCACAAGAACCTATCCTATCTTAGCGAAGCCAAAAGATTGTCTTCCAGGCAGGCTAGGTGGTCACTATTTTTGTCCCGTTTCAATTTTATTATCACCTATAGGCCAGGTGATCGCAACACTAAAGCAGACGCTCTGTCCAGACAGTTCGAAACTACTGACAAACAGGAGATTGATGTTACTCCTGTCATTCCCCCAGACAGGATAATAGCTACTACTATTTTGTCTATTTCCTCGTCCCTCTTGCAGACCATACAAGCGAAACAAAGCATGGCACCTAGCGAGAGGCCTAATGATAAACTGTTCGTTGATGTTCCTGAGAGACGGGATATTATGTCATTATATCATGATACTAAGACCGCTGGACATCCTGGTATTTCCAAAACGGTGTCAGCTGTTTCTCGGTATTTTTGGTGGGATTCCTTACGAAAGGATGTCACTGACTATATAAGTGCTTGTACTACTTGTGCCTGTATGAAATCCTCCCCTAGAGTTCCTTGTGGGCTGTTGCATCCGTTACCCGTTCCCCAGAGACCTTGGTCTAACCTGTCCATGGATTTTATTGTTGAATTACCCCCTTCAAATGGTAACACAGTAATCCTGATGATAGTGGATCGGTTCTCCAAAATGGCTCACTTCGTGTCTCTTCACAAGTTGCCCACATCTAAGGAACTGGCTCATATCTTCGCTAGAGAAGTATTTCGATTACATGGGATTCCCGTATCTATTGTATCCGATAGGGGTAGCCAATTTATTTCCAGGTTCTGGAGGGCCTTTTGTTCAGAAATGGGTATTTCTCTCATTTTCTTCCGCTTATCATCCCCAGTCTAATGGGGCTGCTGAACGTGCCAACCAGTCTCTGGAGCAATACCTCCGTTGTTTTGTGTCTCACCATCAGGACAATTGGTCTGACCTGCTTCCTTGGGCTGAATTTGCTCGGAATAACGCCACTCATGATTCTTCCGGCAAGACCCCTTTTTACGTTGTCTATGGCCAGCATCCCGTTGTTCTTCCGGCTGCATTCTCCTCACAGGGCATGCCAGTTCTGGATGAGCATTTGGCTGGTTTGCGTAATACTTGGGAGCAGGTTCAGCGCTCTTTGGTGGACTCTGCTACTCGCCAGAAGGCTCAGGCTGACAAGCATCGCAGAGCAGCTCCGTCCTATGTTGTGGGGGACAGGGTTTTGCTTTCCACGCTGAATA